ATCCGGTTAACCGTTAATTATTTCATCCCCTTTCGGAAGGGCCTAGGCGTTACGGTAAACCCGGGTCCGTTGCATTTATAATTATTACTATTGGACAACCGGTGAACACATTGTTCGTATACGGACAGCCGGAGAGTCCCGTGTTCCGACCGACCATCATACGGTGTACCTGGTCGGAAATTTAATTATTAAACCCAAACGCTTCACCCTCCCCGTGGACGCGTTACCCTGTGCAAATCGGCGCAATTATACTGTTATTATTATAATCGTTGTAATACAATATTAAAAAAGTAAACGACTACGGCTGTACGCCGGTAAATAGTAGTACATTATAATATTACATGTACATGTCCACGGTTCTCAACTATTGACTATTCCTACAAGAACACCGAAAGCAGTATAAAAGACAAATTACAAGGGTTTCCTGATATATATAAAACATTTTTATTATTAATTCATGTCGACGCCGATTTGCATAATATGTTTATTTGAATTCCTCCGGCGCGTTCATTTTGACGGGTTTTAAATAGAAGAACTCAAACGCATTCTCGGCCGTCTACGCCGAGCTATATTATATTGTATGACGTGTTCATATACATATTATTATTAATAATTATTTTTCTAAAAAACGTCTGCATGCTCTCACGAACGTCATAAGCACCATTCGATCGGTTTTTTAAAGTCTTGTACATTTTTTTCTTTACACAGAACACACAAAACGATTGTGAGCCACGTGTAATAATCAGAGTTGGACATTATTTAGATCATTTTTTATCTAAATAGTTATTTAAATAATATTTTTATTCGAATAATGTATTCGCATAAATCATTTTGGATTTGGTAGAATAAGAAAATTATTCCGAGAAATCATCTTAGATTTGGTCGAATGAAATGGGATTATTCGAATAAAAAATGCCCAACTCTGGTAACAATAACAAGACAGTCAACGGCTTGTCAAGTTAACCGAATTATAAAAAGAAGACATTTGATTTGTTTGTTGTATAGCTTTGTGGGATTTAATAATGTGACTGTTGGATAATTATGAAAATGTATAATTAAACGTCCTATCAACCGGTATTAATAACTATTAGCAATTAAATTATTAAAGATTCGTCAGTATATATCTCCCTATTTATAAATTCTGTTATAAAACAATAAGTACGTTTACCAAGCTGTTTAAAATTATACTTTTATGTCTAAAATAAATGCTGTTGATTTTCTAATAATTATTATCGTTTATTCGTGTACGGGTCGACCTCACAGAACGACTTTGCTGGTCAGTGCTTCCTTATAACCCTAGACCGAAAGGGGTTAGAATTTCCAAGGATTTACAGGGGTATAGTCGGGTTTTCTCATAATTCCATGTACAATCAAAACATCAATAATTAATTTCTATTAGCTTAAACATACAAACTTTTAATTAATACGACCTAGTGTATTAGCACTCATAGTGTTTTTGGATTTTGCAAATATTTTACAAATAATTATATGTTTGACTAAACGAAAACATTTTTAATTAGGTAGTAGTAATTATAAATAAAATAATTATTCTAAGCCATAAATCATATGACAATAAGATTCTTTTCTACAAACTATTAATGAGATGTTTATGTCATTTTTTTCTAACTGAGATTCGTTGTATTGTATTGCAGTCTCTATTAAAACGTCCAAAAATGTCAAACTCCAGACTTAAATTAGTAAGCTCCGGATAAACTTTTCTCTGACTCGCACTGTCAAAAATATACACTGCAAGTTTCAATCCTGTTTTGTACACACACTAAACTATAATTACGTGTACGTCAAATTTTGACTTTCATGGTTTTTTTCTGTCGTTTAGAACCGTGGTCGAAACAATATTTGGTAATTTTTTGTTGTATAATATAATCCCGCAATTGCAAAGCTAATTAGTTGGAAAATATTATTGTTCATAATATTATTTAACTACCAAATTGATATTTTCTGTGTACCAATTAAAGGTACACATTTTCGCACTAATTTTTTGTCTTATTATAGTTTTTGGGAAACTAAGGCCCGCGATTAATCAGTTGTCATTTTAAACATCATATTCTTAGGTTTTTTACAAGAAAATATGCTACATACATGTATGACTACAAAAACCGTGGTCGATTTGACATAACACGGCCTAACAGTGTTTTTTTTTTCAATTTCCCTTCCCGTGAATCGAAAAATATATTATTCACTTGTCTCCCTTAAAAAACGAATCAAGTATCCAAGCGTTCGGTGTAAGTACACGGGCGACGGCAATGACGACTACAAAACGACTCATGTTGTGTAGTCACGCCCCGGTAGACACACATCAATGATCGTGGCAAAAAGGGGAAGAAATATTGAAAGTCGGTTTACCAACTGTGACTAATACAAAACGTGTGCTCGCCGAAACGGTGTGAATAATAACAATAAAAATATTTAATAACGTTCGGTTGATGCCCATTGCGCTTATCCACACGGCCACCGGTTATTTATTTATATTTTTGTTACCACATACGTGGCAGCCGTCGGCGGCGGAGGGCAAAAGATATTGCTATTGATTTTCCACGCTACCTACTGTTTCTTGTCAGTTTTTTATTTAATTCCATTATTTAAACATCTAAAACGCAAACAAATGCACCATAATAAAACAAACGCTTTTGATGTTATTCTCGCCGCCAATAACATGAATATTGTATAGTTCTTGCTTGAAAATTACCAGAACAACGCATTGATTTTAACTTGTATCCATCAACCCTGTAAGAGACGCGTTCGTCAAAGCACATACTATAAGAAACTCGACAGCAACTCGAACTTGAGCCAGCACTCATGGCGGTGTTTTGCTTAGCGAATGTAAGTAAATTAGGCTGGACGTTTCCATTTTGAGTGACAACGAGCAGCATAGGGGGGAGGGGGGGGGGTAGATTTTTATCATATTTCGCAGTCCGAGTGGATTTCTACTCCTCGGGTCGATTCGGGCAAATTCATCATTTTGGCCGGATGTGTAAAAATGTAATTCCAAACAATTCGACGTGCCCGGTATTCGTAAACGCCACTGCGGTAACTTCTCCAGAGAGATGCCCGGCCAAATCTATCATGCGTTCCCTGACGTTTTACCCCCTCCCCCCTCTTCCCTTCGCCACCCCCCGAAAGCTAATACTATATCTAAGTAAACATAATCCTCGTGCTTATCTTTGGTTGCCATGCCAATGGACAAACACTAGGCCGCTTATTTTTTTTCATCGTAATATATGTATATATATATAATATTATATTATATAGTATTATGATATTATTATTATTATAGGTTTTTGTTTGCCTCTGTCTTGTCGACAGCACTGTGTGTGTGCATGCATCCCAGCCTAGTGTAATTTTATGAGCATATACCTATACCCTTTTCGACCCAAATATTTATTCAACCGATTTGATTACTGCCTGCCGCCGCCAACGGTACACCGAATAAATTTAATCAGAAGATCCGTCTGACTGGAAAAACATAAGTCGCGTACGGGGGCCCCCGAGACCCCCCGAGAAAAACGTGACGGGACCTGCGGGATTTTGCGGGCCCGTTTCTGGAGTAATATAGGACAGGCAGAGTACTAGGACCCCGGATAAGAGGCGAGGATTAGTAAAGGGAAGGGGGCTTTGCGGGATTTTGACCATTTTCAATTATCACGCGGGTTATTGGCCACCTTTAGGCTCGTGTGTGTTTCACAGCTGCGTGTTAACGTACGGTGGCGGGTCAAGCGTGCATTTAACCCACGAGTAAACTATCTACTCGACCTAATTTTGTTTTTTTTTTGCAATGGCTAGTTCATAAGACGGGCGTCTTACGCGCGAATCGGTTTTGCAAAAGTGATTAATCATCACAACACCGACCGTTTGTATTACTCGGGTTTTCTTGTCCGAACGCACATGCCGTCAGGACCATATATAACATGTATATCTTTATTTTCTATTAAAAATGTATTCCTCGTCGAATGAAAAATATATGTGCGATTTAGCAACTGTTGTGCGCCTTGTGTAGTATACAATAGTGTACATATTATATGATACACACGATGATGGTGTGTACAGAAAAACGCGTACCGGGATCACGGATGTCGTTTGTGGAGCGACGGCCGTTTTGCGATGAGAAATTTTCCTTCGATAAAGCTCACACGGATAAGATTTCAAATAACATTTGTTAGGCCCCGCGTTCGAAAAAACGAATAATGTTGGTCGTCAAACGAGAAAAACATGACTCGACGACGCGAGCGTAATAGAGTAAATCTATTCAAATATTCAAATTTCTATTCGTTCGGTTCGAGTGCACCACTCGTGATGGGTAAGGGATAGAAAGAGAGAGAGAGAGAGAATGATTGAAAGAAAAAAGAATGAACGACGGAAGAAAAATATGTGAGATTGGCGGTGAAAAAAATACAACAAACTACGACAAAAGCAATAATATATTGCGACACATTTGCCAAAGACGAGGTAAATACATACATGACATGGATCGGTCGTGGACGGTGGTAGAGGAGGAAGGAGTGCATACGGTAAGGCGTCTGAGAAAAGAGCTTTTTAATAATCTAAGATAAAACCCGATGCGGTGTGTAAAAAAACAAATATATGTATACAACTCCAGAACAAACCCCTACTAAAGTTATGGTTTGGTTTGTATATTCTTGGCTAACGAGGGGCAGAAAATATCACATTTAAGTAGAAACGCAAAAAGATTATCTACAACACATAACTAAAAAAACAAGCGAGGAATTAATAGATATGGAAAGGATTATTCCCAATGTTAAAGGCGATGAATAATGTATACAAATTGACATGTAGTGTATGAAGTGTTGCCTTACACATTTTTCCTTAAAAACGCATTTTAGGGAATAAGGGTAAAACTATTGATATACTTACAAATTAAAACTAATATCGCGACGTTATTTTTATTGTACACAAAATAGTAATAATAATAATATGTCGTCAAGTACAGTATACGCTAACAATTGTGTTTGTTTTTGTTTCAGGATTCGATTAATCTGGAACCGTCGAACGTCATAGGCTGTACGTCAAGAGGCAAATCTGAGGTAAATATAGACTAGTTTTAACAATAATAATTGTATTTTAATCTCCAAGTAACAACAATAACAATACGGCTTTTATATGCGCTGTGGTGTGAAGTAAATAGTTCGGGCAAAACGAGTGTAGGCCGTGCACGACCCGAAGCTTTGTTCTTGGTCCTTTCCTCCTGCGGTTATTTTTTCCACGGTATAACACGGTCGACAAGAGTGGGAGCAATATGTTTACAATAACAATAGAAAACCAAGGAAAAGACGGAATTATTTTTCGTTTCCGTGTATGTGTACGTTGGAAATCCACGCGCAGAGACAAAGAGTAATAAATATCTCTGGCTAGACGCGGTACAAAGGAGTTTGCTGCAAACGTAAATGTGTGAAACAAAAAAAAAATAATAATAATAATAAAAAAGCCCATGCATGGACAAGCAAACCGTGTAACGAAAAACAAAGCTCCTGGTTAGATCCTTTTGGAGGTTACGCGTACGTGTCTGCTGTGGGTTGCTCGTGTATATTACAATAATGATTATAAGTACTAGGCCTCGGTTTAATTTCTAAAATAACTTTTAGCGCTCTACGCGAAATCCATTACCGAAATCCGACGTCCAAGTTCACGGCGGATGTCGATAATTCAATTTTGGGGTTCTTGCGGTTTATTAAATTCTTAACTCCGCGACCGCGCTTCTCTAGGAACACAGTCGGTGATCGAATTAAGTCTGTACTAGAGAAGAAGAAAGACGTACGAGGCGGCCATATTGGCACTGGCCGTCGAAAGCAATTAGCATTTTAATTTGGACTCGGAGAACAATACCCGGACGCCCTCGAGGGGTTAAACGCACACACACAAGTCGAACGCGAAACGGTTAGGGCCGTCAGTGGAGGCAGTAGAGTATTATTATTATTGACGAAGGACGAGCGCAAATCACACACTTTCCGAAACTCTCTGAATAATAAAATAACGTTAGAGGGATGCAAAAGTTAGGCCAAAGGGGCTTTTGCCCGTCAAGTACAGAACAATGTTGTTGCATGGGGTTGTACCTATTGCTATGCAAATTACTGCGGCCACTATCCGGTTGGAACTCGTGGAAGTTTCGGTCCGTAGTAAGTAATATATGAAAGCGATCGTACCCCGTCGATTTTGTCTCTATATCAATACTTTTTTGTTCGGGTTTTTATTGTGTTATTTATAATTTACATGTAAAATCGCCGTATATTTCTCGATATAAAGCCCAAGGCAAAAAATATCGTAACGCGCTTACAGTTGGTGGTCTTATAGATGTCGATTGTCGCATAAAAGTATGTCTTAAACACGGTGGAATTTTCAATATTGAATAATGTTCTTCTCAATCCACGAAATAGTGATTTAAAATCGCTGTTCGAATACTTATTGAAAATATGTTTGCCCGTTCGACGTAGGGGACCGTTGTCTTTATGTCATTGTTTATTATGTATCACGAGCCGAGGGTGCCGAATGTTTTCACAAGCTCTCTATTTACTTTGGAAAGTCATCGGGGTAATTTTTTGCGGTTCCGGTATCGTTTTAGCGTACTTTAAACAACCATACATCCCCACAGTCGGCACGGTGTATTGTAGTTTGTATCGTGGTAATTTGAAAAATAAATAAAAAGTATTATTGCCACTGCTAAAAGTATCAGTGAGTTTAAGACGGAACTCGGATCTAACATAATGGAAACGACCAATAAAATTGTACGATCAGCGGCAAGTTGGAAAATTGGTAAAGTTTGTGCGGCGGCCACGTTGTACTTAAGGTTAATACGAAAGTTATAACGCCGGCATTTTACTGCGCGCGAAACGCCTTGCCAAGGTGTGTACACACTAGTATCCATATACTTTTCCAAGTAGTTTCTTGGGCAATTAGATAATATTCTTGATAGAATTTCACCCGTCGACGTTTATTAACATTTACATATTTTTGAGCACCTATTTATATGCTACACGCTGTATGTATAGCTATATATGTACACCCAAACGTATTGTCAACTGGGAATAGAAATAAAACCACAATAAACGGTCGAAGGGGGTGCAATTATTATTATTGTTATATTTTTTTATTATTTTTAACGGGATTCTATATAAGACTCGGTGGAGAAGGATAGTGTTTTGTCGTTAGTTTTTTTTGAAGCGCAAAATGTGTCCAGAAACCGGGACAGCAAGCAATCAGCGACCACATAAAACGAATTACAACTGCGAAACGTCCACGCTATATATGGCTATTAACTTTTTTTATGTGTCCGCCATTTCGTTCTGAACGACCGCAAGTCCAACATTAATTCTCACTTAGGGACGACAATTTATGTCTGCCCAAAAGGAATTCACCGCGTACAATAATCGTTTGGATATTAGTTTTAAATAGTAGTACAAATAATAATTTGCCGCAATGGCAATGCCTATTCGTTTGTTCGTTTCTTTCTTTATCATTTTTGTGCAAGGTAGGCATGGCGGCTTATGTCAACGTGTGTTCGTGTGCTTTCCTTTAGTACCCGAAGTCGGATAATTTACCCGGAACGACTGTCTGACACCGTAACAAGCACGAACCCAATTTTTCCTTTCTATTGCCGTCGTCCTTTTATGTGTGTCTAGCAGTTAAGCGAGGACGTTTATAATAAAACGTTTGCCGTCGTCAAATAATTTCACAAACAATCCGTGACAGGGTGCGAAAAAAATGTTCACCCGTTCCAAGCGGCAGACGGTACGGTTGTGAAAAATTAAGTGAAAATCAGGTTGTGAAAATGACGGATGGTTCGAATAGTTGACAAATAATCTGAATATAAACAACTATTCCGACGGGCTGGATGGGAATAATAGTAGGTATAGTACATATTGTCGTTTTCTACATAAATTCCTAATACTAAATATAACAATAGTCACTATGTATAGCATCGACTGTACTATAGGTAACCAATTGAAAATGTAAAATTATTATAGTTGAGTAAACTCAATCGTTTGCCATTTTCTGCTTGTCCGACTAATGAATGAAGACGATTCGGCCTGACGGGATTAAAAGGCAACGCCTGCTGTGTAAATTCAAATATTTACCAATCAATTTTGTCTTACCATGCAATCATAATATATCTTAATCGAATTGTATTGTTTATCTTCTTAACTCTGACGTGAAGCTCAGATAAAATATATTCATTTTTCAAAGATGTGTTTTTTTTATTGTATTCTTAGTATATTATGTATAATGTTTAGACTTTCCGTAACTTTTTACCCAACATATATATGTACACTTTCCATAAAACATGTCAAATAATGTGAAGTCTTACATTACTGAGCGTAGTTTTATTTAGATTGAATAAATATCTACTATTAATAATAACATTTTTTTTTATTAAAAAAATACTATAAATCACTTAAAATGTAATTCAAGTGTAATGCCATTTTGTCTTTATAACGGTTTTTGTCGATATTAAATGTTTTTTACGCCAACTATGAATTTTTACCAATGTTTTCTTCAAAGTTATTTTGTCACTTTCATTGGGGAAGATGTCTAAAAACCAGGCTTGATTTTAAAATTTGTTAAGCGACCGACAAAAGCGTTTAACACAACGTTCGTTATTTTATATAAGAATCTACAACAGTTAAAGGATATTGGTTTTTCCAAAATCTATTGACTCAACTCTAGTGTCTCTAGTGTCTATTGATCCATGGAGGAATTCAGTACTCAACGCTATTACTCTTTTTCCGATTAGTTCCGACATTTTCCAACTTAATGACCATTACGAAAAAAAAAAATAGTCACACGCGTTAATTGGTTCTCTCTCCTAACGATTGTTCATTGTAAATCGAACTTTCAAAAGACCACTGGCAATCTTTTGTTCGGTTTTGACAACAAAAGAGGCGACCGCCATGCCGATTGAATTAAAGAGGTTTTACTCTTTTGTTTCAAATTGCATATTTTCCCAAAATCGATTCGAAAAGGAAACCGAGTACACACCAATTTTGTTTATTGAATATTTCAACGCGGCGACGTTAACATTCGTCTTGTGCGACTCCACTTTATACAAACATAATTTTATAGATTCCACTTACATTTAGCATGGAGCTGACAAGTTCAGTTTGTTTACCGTCGCATAGTTGTGAATCAAAATTCCGAGAATTCGCACTATATTACTCGAACATAATTAACTTACAACTGCAAAAAAAACGCGTTTCTGTTGTTATTATATTTTAAACTTTACACAGAACAAATAAGACGTGTTTTTGTGGCGCATCAATTATGGTAGAAAAATACATGTTGCTTACAACTGGAAATTATAACTCGGAGGTACTTATGGACGCTCGTTATAATGAATGAATGAAAAAAAGTAGGCTCGCTTTTTAAAAATGGCCATTTTGTTGTTATAAAATAATATGTTTTGATACGAAACGAAACTGTTCTTTATTTTTTAACATGTTTTTGTCAGATTAAAAATAGTGACTTTTTTCCCTGTACTCTTTAAGTATTCTGCAGAAAATTAGTAACTATATTAGCTATAATAAATATCGAATCGTGAAGCAACCGCCATTTATAATTCTACGCCAAAATCAAATTTTGTTATTACTTACAAGTAGCTAACTGTACAATTAGATATTAATATAATATGCTTATACTAAAATGACCAACGTAAAATATTTAACGATACAGAAAATGGCTTTGGTATTTTCACACAATAATTATTTCATTATTGCCTTTTAGCGGCATTAAAAACCCATAAGTATAAAGTTTCAAAACTAGCACCATCGCACGTGGATGGTACATATTATACATTATACAGTATGTTTCATAGCGACTTATGCGGTGTTTACAATATTATTGTTAAAAACATTATTAGTTATTCGTTAAAATTGAATATATTTACAATTGAAAACGGCTGTTTCTTTTTATAAGCACCGGTTAAAGTTTATTCTTAGTAGAAAAAAACAAATTTATTAAAACCATTTAAAGTATGTTTTTGCCGAACCAGTATCATTCCGGGACACACTGTATACAATTGTTATGCATTTTTAAACGTGTACAGTCGACACTTTGCTGTCAGCATTAGCGGGTGGCGTTGTTTTTAATGGTCGGCCATATAGCCTGCCCTGCGCATTGCCCTGATCCCGGTCGACAGATTTTGTAAAATAATAATAATAATTACTGTTACGGTTCCCCAGGGGGGGGATGGGGAGGTTATAAATAAAGATTTGCGGTGGCGGTCAAGGCGGTTTGTCACCGGACCGACGCAAAACGTTTTGAATACGATTTCCGATTGTAATGGCCAATACGCTACCCCCGAGGTCTGCCATTCACAAATCACCTTTACTACCCCTTTTACACCCTGCCTACCGTTCAAAAAGCGATCGTACACCACCACGTTGCAGGAAATATTACAATATTTAGCTGTATGGTCGGACGGACGGTATGCGTAACGCTATAAAGGTCGGTCGTGCCTTTGGAGATAAACGATAATCATTTTCCCAGTTGTTATTATCATTATTTACGATTGGCCGCCGAGGTCGTATATATATCATTATTATTATAATATTATTTCCCGGCAGTCGTACCCGAGGCCGGCACGTTATTGAAATTTTCCGTTTTAGCCGGCAAATATATTATTATACACTATATATTTCCATCGGCAAGCCGTGTGCGGTTATCGGGCGAAACGGGATCGGAAGATCGCATTACAGTGTGTAATGTATGAAATATGAATGCATGTGAGTGAGGTTATTAAAAAAACGACTTACCGATAATGTTATTACTACCACCCGACCGATGCCGGGTTCAACAACGCAAAACATCCGCTCGGAATTATTCGCCAGACCGACCGATTGAATTCAATGGAAGTTTGCAAACACCACTCGCACGTTAATAATAATAATTATTCAATATAATAATAGAAGTTAAGCTAAATATTCGCATATTCGCTAATTTTGCGTTCGATCGTAACTCGTTCGGCGTTCATATACCGAATTCATATTATAATTTCACATAAGAAAAAAAAAGGTGTACATTTTACATCCGACATTCACACTACAACCATTGTTTTATAATTTATGTTTTTTAATTATTGAAAATAATAAATTTACATCCAAATGGGCAATAGAGTGCAAGATAAATATTCTTACAAAAATTAATTACAATACCACTAAACGAAAATTGTTGTATAAATCGTTAAACAACATTATTTAGAACACTTTTTAACCTGGCCAAAGAAATCATAAATAAAATAAAATTATAATTATTTATTTCCTTATTTGAAGCCATTAGCACTCTAGCAGTCTATCAAAAATTAATAATTATATAGTTATAGCAGCACGCCAAATTTAGTTGAAGTAATAAAAACCATATCACTATTTAATATTATTGAATTCTACCGCAATAATTAACAGTACAATTTATAAATAATATGTATAAACAAAATGCATTTGAGCGTGATAAATCATGATTTCTCTTCAAGTAAATTTACAGGTAGTCAAATTGAAAAACGATCGTTCTAGAACGTGAGAAACCGTTTAGTTACTCACTTCTCGTGTCGACGATATCGACTTGTGCTAATGAAAAATAAGGATAGAAAAATAAATGAGTTTTCCAAATGGAAACAACGCGTGAACAGGTCAAAGCAACGTCCATTAGCTGATTACAACTTTTTTGAGAGATGAAGACGTTAGACTTATTTGCATTGTCATAGCGCGGTGTCACATTCATTATTGGCGCAAATGATGTGGACATTTTTAATCAGTCACCGCGCTAATGTACATTTGTCTATAATTCTATGTATTTCTTTTTTTTTTATTAAAAAACTACTCACTATAAGGTCTGAAAAAGAACACTTACTGTTCAATAACAATAATTGAAAGCTATTTCACCTATTATTCATTTGGTCAGTAATTGTAAAATACATAATTGTATTATTTTACCACCTACTCAATCTAAAACATGAAATAATTACATGTTAGCAGACGTTTATTACATTAGTTACATTTACTCTTTTTTGGATAATTTGTACGAAACTAACATGTATTTAACACATTTGTATATCGTTAAACATATATATTTTTAATGTTAAAACTTCTAATAAAAATATGGTAGTTTTTTCAATTCGTATATCTGTATTGAAGGTTAACCTGAGGAATTACCAAAATTATATTCTCTGTTTTGAAAACGACTTATAATTCTGTACTATGTCTTGGACACAAAGCTGGATTAGTTGTTTGAAAGCGTGTACATTTTAGGGGGTTACTAAAGATGGTAATAAAAAGAAGCAGCAAAGTTGCAAAGTAATTATGTAGTCTGGACCCCAATCGCATAGAGTGGTCGCGAGACGCAGAGCTACCCTAATCCATATTCGTATAAGAGGACCAGCGACGACGACGACATGCCGTTTTCCATTTGTCTTCTTCCTTTCGCCTTGTCCGTGTCGGTATGCCGCCGTCACGGCTCGTGAAACTTCAACTTTCCTTTTGGTTTGTTATACACATTTAAGATTGCTTGAAAATAATTTAATCAAACCTCGCCGCCGTCATTTGTCGTCTCGGATCAAAGCGATCCCCGGAAAATGCAAAAAAAAAAAGAACCATCAATCGTAATATTATACATTTTAATGTTTTGTACTTTCTTTTTTTTTTTTTTACAGAATTTTGATTGCCGCAATCACATTCGAGTCATCCAGCCCATGGGCGACGGCAGTCGGATATACGTGTGTGGCACGAACGCACACAACCCCAAAGACTACGTGGTCTACGTGAGTTCACCGTACAATGTTATATGACTAATTGAACATTGGCTTTATTTTTTTTTCTTATATTTTTGCAATTTATCGTTGCAGTCGAATCTGACGCATCTGCCGAGACACGAGTACGTGCCCGGCGTGGGTATAGGCACGGCCAAGTGCCCGTACGATCCGCTCGACAACTCCACGGCCATTTGGGTGGAAAAGGGCAATCCGGGCAATCTACCGGCTCTGTACAGTGGCACCAACGCAGAGTTCACAAAGGCCGACACTGTCATTTTCCGAACGGACATGTTCAACCAGACAACGGGACGCAAAGAATTCAATTTCAAGCGCACCTTGAAATACGATTCCAACTGGCTCGACAGTAAGTACATAGTTCGTCCGTGCGACCGTTAAGATTCGGTTCACAATCTTTGTGTCCCGCTTTTTTAAGCGATGACTTGATAACATTTTTTTTTCTGCTTTTAAATGCAAATCTTTTGGCGCTGGCTCGTGTAATTTCGAAACGCAAACACGTACCAAAGGATAAAAACGCGCGGCTCCGGATTCGCCTCGGGGGGAGGTTTTCGGAAAAAGTTGGAAACGTCTTAAGAACTACACTGCCGCATATATGTAATGCGGGCCCGTGGCCTCAGCATGTGTATAATCCGTCGTTGTCGGATAACTGACGGGACGTGACAGTGCGAGGCTGGTGATAAATTGCCGTGCAGAGAGATCTCCGCTGGCGCTTCGGTTAGATTCCTACGGGATGTTCTCCCCCACCGCGACCGTCTTCCCGTCATTCTTGTATTTTGTTAATTCGACGGTCTTAAACGGCGGCGGTGGCCACTGTGTCTGTACACAACTTCCGTACAGGTCTAAGTCTTCCGTACACACAAACAGCCACCGCACGGGGATATACGGGGAAAATTCACTTCCGTTTTTCGTCTTAAGGAGTCTACAGGACTCCGAATATAGCTGTTACGGTGAATTTTTTATTCTGGGTTAAATTTTTAAACATAATATTACGATACACCGTAGTTGCTATTTAGTATTTACTCACAAATGTGTTGTTGTGTTTTATTTATTCTCTACACAAAACTGGTAAACCGAAAATGTTTCAGGTGCTATTAAAAAAAAATTAGTGCCAAATTTTGACTTTTTAAGACTTGATTGCGACTTTTTGCATAGGAATTCGCCTTTTTATTTCCATTCTACAATACGTTTAATTCTAGTTAAGAACCTTGTAAATTTGGCACAGGTTTTCGAATTGCCCATAAACGTGATAATGGAAGTCTTTAGACCTGCTGTACAAAAGAAGATTTCCACGATGCGGCAATTACGGTAATCGTCCAATAACAATAGCGGTTGTGCGGGATTTAAAGGGTACTTAAACTTATTAAAAATGTATCAACTCGGGATTAAATACACTATCAGTTTACTTCGGGCCAAACTTAATTCAAAACTACTACGGTACGGGGGTTATAAAAGCGTTTAGACGAGGGTAAAGACTGAAGTGAAACGACTTCAAATTAATCCTCCAAGATATTCGCATAGAACATAAAATGAATTTAAAGTCGAGCAAAAATACATATCCGAATTATTCTTTTATTCGAGCTGGCAACTCCCCCTTTTCAAATGTCAACAACTATATTTTTTAAAGGAGATTCTTTACTTACGTTCCGTTAAGACGACGTTTAAATTAAATGACCTTATAGTTTAATGCAGAAAAAATACACCGGACGCCAATAAATAAAGGGATCGCCATTTATTCTACTACAGATTTCAAGCTTTTTTTTTTTTTACCCCTACTGAGAAAATAAATATAGTATTAAAAGTGCACAACTATTAACTGACAATTATTAACGAAATCGGAAAAAGGCTCACAACATAACATATTGCAAATCGTTCGTTTGCTAACGCTCAGATTTTCACAAAATACTTTCTTCACTACAGGTTCTCGGAACGGTGGAAATAGTTTTTTGAAATCGAAAAGTGTGTTTAAAAAACATTAAAACTATAAATATTGTTTGTACGCGAAGAAAAATGTCACATTTCGAACAAACCGACAGCGTCGAGATGGAAAATAAACTACTCCAATCTTTGGATTACTACTACGGGGAAAACTTTTTATATTGTTTGTCGTTATTGTTGACGGATTTTTTTTTTCAAATTCAAAAGAAAAACCGACCAACTTCTTTACTATGTTATTCCGTCTATATGCGGACATATTTTGGCGTTTTGGTTAGCAAACTTTTAAATCGAAATCTCGAATCCCGCCACGATCGATTGCACACACAAATCAAACTAATAGCGGCAAACATTATTCTCTATGGTATTCTTCAAAACGTAACACAATGGAGATGACGAACCGATATTATATATATATATATATATATTTCGTTGGCGAACCCCGTCAGAAGAACCGACGTCACCCTTTCCGCCGTCGCGTCGTTTTCCCGTGATTGTCTATTATATCGCAGTATATAATAATATCATACTCAGCCCCGAGTAGGCAAACACCGCGTATAAGGGTCCAAGTAGCAAGAACCGTGTTGATATTATGTACACAACCCGGTTTACGTGCACTGTTATACCGACGTGCATACGGTGTTGATGATTATTAAAAAAAATTAAAAAACACCTCGGGCAAAAAAACAGCTAACCGACAATATGGCGGAGTACAGGATTACAGCGGCTGTGCGAGAATTATGCAAATCCGTTTTACGTGTGTCGGTAATCGTTTGCGAGACACCATCCATATAGTAATTTGTCAGCAACACTATAGTAGTAGTTGGCAAGTTCAAAGGACCCGCTTTTGTGTCGAGATGAACCGACGAATCGCTTACACCCGGTGAACCGCTTCAATACACATGTACCTACTGTTATTATTATTGTGTAGGCAATATAGCGGCGACGGAGTTTGCGATTAAAATCGCCCGTGTCATTGCAGTAGCCTGGCAAGTGCGCAATTTGCCGGTATTGTAGCTGATAACGATGATAAAAACAATTAATATAATATCGTTATGTATGTATACAGTGTGTGTACATACGGGTGGTTAAAAACGTGAATCCCAGGGCTTTTCGGGCAGACAGGTTCTACACAAAGTCTCGTATGTTTTGCGACCGTCCCCCACCCCTCCCCCGACTCGAAGAACATTCGTCGGTGATTCATATTTTTTGACTTCCCGAAGATAACGCGGGCTCACCCTTTACGAGAGAGAAGGAGAGAAAAAAAACTGTCACACGCTCGGCCGAGCATAAACGAAGTGACTGTATCAAAGACCACCCCAGCTGTCGCAAAACCCGTCTGTATAATATTGCATGCATGTATATGTGCGCATGGGTGTAGTACGAAATACCCTCGAAAACACCTAGCGGTGGACACACACACACAAGCTAACTTTAACCCCTCGAAAGTCACCCCAGATGATATTTTTTAATATTCGCCAATCGACCCGCCGAATTAGTCAAAACTCAATTAGCTCTTTGCCGTCGAACCCACTCGATACTGACACGTTGCGATTTAGAAAAATCTATATTTACAACAAATTGTTTATGTTTGAACGAGAGTTGAAATTTGTATTTTCGCCGCTAAAGTAGTGTAATTGTTTATTTACAGAACCGGACTTTGTGGGTTCATACGAGATAGGCCAATATGTGTTTTTCTTCTTCCGCGAGACCGCCGTCGAGTACATCAACTGTGGCAAGAGTATATTTTCTCGGGTAGCTAGAGTGTGCAAGAAAGACACGGGCGGCAAGAACATCCTCAACCACAACTGGGCCACTTACCTCAAGGCCAGACTGAACTGCTCCATTCCCGGCGAGTATCCGTTCTACTTCAACGAGATTCGTGAGTATTTTTATTTTTTATTTTGTTAACAAATATCCCTTAACACCAACACATAATAGTTTATGGTTCTAACGCTTTTGTAATTATGTTGTCGCACAGAAAGCATTTACAAGGTGCCGGGCGACGATTCTCTCTTCTACGGCGTGTTCACTACTTCCACCACGGGTTTGATGGGCTCTGCTATTTGTACGTTCCGTCTGGAAGACGTCGAACACGCGTTCACTGGTCGTTTCAAGGAGCAGGCCAGCTCGACATCGGCATGGCTACCGGTATTGACCACCAAAGTACCCGAACCGAGACCCGGACAGTGCGTCAACGACACCGAGACTCTACCGGGTAACAAGCACATAGCCAATCCTTTTTTTTTATTATGGATATGTTATTATTCACTCAAAGTTGGTCTGAGAATTTCGATTGAACGATCATATTATTGTTTATTATTTAGATTCAGTTTTGAATTTCATCCGTGGCCATCCGCTCATGGACGAAGCCGTAGCTCACCAAGACAATCAGCCTGTATTCTACATGCGTGACTTGTTCTTCACCCGGCTCGTGGTTGACGTCCTGGACTACGTGGTTTTCGGTAACCATTTGCACTACACCGTCTACTACGCCGCTACCAGTAAGCATCATCCAGTGTAAATGTGTATTTTGTATCATCCGCTTTTACTTATATGAATTGTGTTTTTAGACGAAGGCCGCGTGTACAAAGTGGTGCAGTGGTACAACGACGAAGGAATACCGGGATCGGCTCTCCTCGACATCTTCGACATCATGCCTGGACTACCCATCACAGCCATGGAAATATCAAAAAAGGTTCGTACGTCCATTGTAAGAGGTATACAATATTTTCGTCGACTACATCGCCCTCGACGCTCCTGGTATTGTTGTATACCAATTTAATAGGGGACGGTAATGTAATAATATTTTTACCCTCGGAGGCGTTGATGCGCGACGCCCAATCGTGATTTTGGAACCAGAGACAAGGATAACGAATTATTGTAATTTAAAAGTCTGTAATCCGAATCCATCAAACGATATCGACGATATTATGTGGCTCAATCGTTCTGACGAATTTGTCGTCTTTCTTGTGCTGCTAAAGATTGGCCAAACATTCACTTTGACGATCTGTCAGAAAGCATTCGTCTCTATAAGGTTGTTAGCGCACCGCTGACCGTTGGTGTTGTAGTTAGCGGTAACGAGGGTGGAAAAAATCGGTCTTACCAGCTTTTAATGATGTACAAGACCGATTAGTAATCCCCCGTTAACAAGCCTGCAAACAACGTCGTGACTCATCGGTTTCGCGCGCCTTTGCCAAGTGGTATCTATTGTCCTGCTGCCGTTACCTGCGAATGACACTCGACGCCCAAAACCACCGCCGCCGAATCCATTTTCTCTTGTCTGATACATACAAATATGATATATATATAAATAAATGTACTTGGGCTCATAGCCTATTTGTAATAGGAAATATGATTATTGTTTTCTCGTACATAAGACCCTCGGTCAAGTGGTGGTAATCTCTGATCGGGTTTCCCGGTTTCGGGCACCGTTCGACGAACAAAGCTGATCCGCAGCATTGCTTCTCTTCGTGAATGCAGTTAAATTATGTATTCCGCATTGGCGACAGAGAAGGGTCAGAAATCAAATTACATTATCGCACGTCCGTAAGACCCCAAAATCGGCAGTCAGTTTGTCCTCTACGATTTCGAACGTCCGGCAGATCCCAAAACCAACCAAACGACGCTTTCTTGTTATTTGTTTTAGTTGATTTCGTTGGGATATAATATAAAATGCATTTATTTGTTTACAGCACAAAGCCTTGTACGTGGCGTCCGACGAAAGCGTCAGGCAGATCTACTTGTCCATGTGTACACACCGGTACGACAGCTGTCTGCGATGCGTTCACGACCCTTACTGCGGCTGGGATAAACAGACTAAGACCTGCAAACCCTATCAACCCGGGTAACTATTACACTCTAAGACATCCGTGCAATTTGTTTTTGTAAACTTTACTCAACCGGTTCCGCGCCCTTGTCCTTGTAGACTCCTTCAAGACGTGACCAACTCGTCGCGTAGCGTGTGCGAAAGCTCCGTGGTCAACAAGAGGCTGACGGTGACGTTCGGGCAAAGCGTGCATCTTAGCTGTTTCGTCAAAATGCCCCAAGTGCTCAAGGTGTACCCCGTCACCTGGTATCATCACAGCAAAGAAAAGGGTCGCTACATGGTGTCGTTCAGGTACTGTTATACTATTGATATTATCGCCGCAATTATCGTCACTTTTTTGTCACTCTGTAGTTGATAATTTTTGTCATTTGTTGGCTTTATAGTCGCGTTGAAAAATACATTGCGACCGTCGAAGGCGGTATGGTCATCGTGGGTGCATCCGAAGAAGACGGTGGTCGTTATGACTGTCAGCTGGCCGGTGCGCTGTTGTGCACGTTCAACTTGACCGTAGACGCCCACCGATGTTCGCCTCCAGCTCGGTCCCTGGACTACCACCGGGTGTACTCGGACTGGTGCCATGAATTCCAGAAATACAAGAGCGCCATGAAATCATGGGAGAAAAAACAAGCTGTAAGTTGACTTGAACTATTTGAAATGAAATTATCTAATCGTGTTGTGTCTTCGTTGTGTAGCAATGCAGTAGCTCGAGGCAAAACGAAACGGGCATCTCCCAAGGTCTCATTTCAAACGAATTAAACTCAAGCCCAACGTTGTAAGCATCCACCGTCATCTTACCATCTCCCAATACCTCCAACAAAAAAACAGTATGACGTCGTCTGGGTAGTTTCTTAAAATACGGTTTTTCAACGTTTTACCTATTTGTAGGCTATATAGATAGGACATAATAATATTATGATTGTACTCTTTTAATGTTAATAATTATTAGAAATACATACAGACTGCCTAAGCTTCGGGAATCGACAGACGGCGATCGAAACTTTTTAACGATATAAACATATTTTATCTACTATCTTCTGTGATAATGTAGTTGTTAATTTATTACTATTTTTATTTTAATGAAATAATATACGTTATAAAATATTTGTGCTCTGTCCGTTCGAACGGGACACCGATTTGGGCATAATCTCTTCCCGTTTTATTATTTCATTTTTAACGTGTGGCTATTATTATTAAACAGTTTATGGTGCTTTATATTATAGCAATACACTGTCGCGAAGATTTTTCACTCAAATTTAGCGCGTAGACCTATTAAAAACATTATTGTATTTATTGATTATTATTAAATTAAATGTACCTTTATTATTATTATTAATTATTGATATCGACAATAATACTAGGTTTCTCGACATCCATTTTTAGCGTAATACAATCAACAACTACCTACTTATGTATTTTCTATAAGTACCTACCTAGTGAATAGTATGTTCAAATTATTGTGACCGATCACTTAAACAAGTAGGTATATTTATCATTTATATAAATTAAATAAATTATATTTAAATAAGTTTTCCCTTTGTGCCTAAATTATAGTTCAAGTCTTAGAAAGCATAGGCATCCTACATCAAATTTATATTGTAAAAATAAAAATACCAATGAAAAAAAAAATTGCTTATCATATAATATGTATTGAATTTTTTGTTTTCAATATTTACATCTCATAAAAAAACTTTTTTCATCTCGTTAACTTGTACTTAAACTTTACCTATTAGTTTTGTCGTATATCACTAATTTTCTTCAAATTCCATCCAAAAAAAAAAAAAATATGTGTTTTATTATAATATAGATTTATTAACATTATACATTCATGTATAATTCACGATCATTTTTAGAAACAATGAAATTTTCTATTATATGTAAATAGAAATTGTTTAAATATACTTGTTAAAAATATTTTATAAGTAATGATAAGAATAATTCATTGTTGTACATTTTTTTTTTAGTATTGATAAGAATATTGTATTGAATATAATTATTTTTAATGTGTATGTAAGACTAATTAGAATTTTTTGTTTTTGTAAACAAAAAATATTTAGTAAGAATCAATAATATTTTTTTTCAGAAAAATTAATGGTTATTATTTATTTATTTATTTTTGTCCTATTATATTATTAACTAATACAGTACGTTTGTGTGAAAATTTTTAAAAAGATAACCCTAAGCAAAACTACACATTTGCACTAGGTCAGTCCAAAATATTTTAAAATTATCCCTCACTAAAAAAAAAATATGTTCGTGTATCTTCGATTAATCTTGAATACTTCCATTTACGGTCAATCAAGAATTTTTGTGCAGTGTACTTGCAAAATTTATAAAAAAAACTTCAATTTATATTTTATCTATTTAAGGTATGAAAAAGCAATTGAATAAAATGATGAAGGAAAAAGTAGTGAATAAAAAAATTGTACAAAAAGTATTTTTCTTTACATAATACCGTTAAAGAATAAAGAAGATTATCATTGCCATCTGATTATAAACACTGGAACATGTTATAAAAAATAAATTTCCAAATTAACCTTGCGACATTTTTGGATTAGATATTTTTATATTGCGGGTGGTTACACCAATTATACAGAAAGAAGATACTTGTAAGAAAGAACATTTATATCTTAATGTGTTAGTTTTCTGTTTGGTAGAATATATGTAGACAATTTTTTGTTTAAAGTTATAATGTTGCATTTTGCAATGTCTTAATTTTTTTCAAATTTATTTGAATTATACTAATGTTAATGTATTCATTCACTTTAAAATGAATACCTTATATGGTTAAGATATTTAGACAATACATAATTGCATTGGATATTCAATCAATTTTATTTCAGCTCAGTACAAAGCAGACCTTTTTATACATGAGTACATAATACGTACACATCTTATATCTTCACATACTATTATTAAATTATTAAGATTGAAACTAAATTTAAGTAAAATATTACTAGAGCCCTGTTCTAAGCAATCCTTAATATTTTGCAATGCATTACACATAGCGCCATCTCTTAGCAAGAATAAGTAACAATAAAGTCTACTTTTAAAACTAAACTTGATAGAAATTATACACTGTACAGCACCACTCGTAAAAAAATACATTAATTATTATAAGCTTAGAATACCATAAACAATGTACTAAAAAATAATAATGTTGTTTTGAAGAAAGACTGTTCACAATGAGTTTAAGGCCCTAAGCTATCTTTAAATTGAAGAATAACGCAATTGTTTTTTAATCATTTTTGTTGTATTCAAATACATTTGAAATTGTTAAACCGACATCTATCATCATTAAATTGCAAATAATAAAGAACCAGAAGATACTTTTAGGAATCAAAACTTTAAAGTTAAAAAAAACGTCGTTTTGTTACCTCTTATTGGAGTTTGGAGATGATCAATAAAACATCAATTACAATTTTTCAATACATTTTACCTTAAGAAATGAGATTTGGACATTATTCTTATAACTATTTACAAGATTAGATTAATTAAAAATTATTTTTAATATAATCAATTCTCTATTTTGATTATTTATAACACAGTTATTTACTATTTTGTTTCAAATTATTTTATCAAACTAAATATTTATTTTTTATGAGTACATTTTTTTATTCCTTATGTATTATTTTAAATCACATTTTTTAAATGTTTATAATTTTAAATATTATGCAGTCTGTATATAAATATACAGCTAGGTCAAACCCTAAGCTAGGTCAGACTGCTCGACTTGGACCTTGATTAAATATTTTTTGAATAAAGAAGTGATTTAAAATACATTTTAAACGATAAATTTTTAAACTATCTAAGTTAAAAAAATGTTTGTCTAAATTCATTTTTTGTACATGTTTAAAACAGTATTTTTAGTTATAAAAAAGTTACCTTCAGTAAGATTTTCTTACTTGAAACTATAATTTTATGGTACAGTAATTTATTAGTTAATCTTATTTTTAAGTTATAAATGTTGCGTACCCATACTTGTAGGAGCCTTAAGAATATTAACTGGTTATTTTCAAGAACTATTAAAATATAAAACATTTAAAATATCATTTATTAAAATATTATAAAAATACATATAATTATAATTTTATCGAGATCAAATTAATTTATAGTAACAACAATATGTAAATGTAATTTATAACAGAGAACCAAATTAATATATATATTATTAAATAAATGTTTTTTTATGTAAATGGTAAAAAATTAACAAAAAGAATAGTACCAAAAAGAAAATATGAAATAAAGTACAAAAAAATAAAGCTCGAGTTTTTATCATTAAATATACAACTAAAGGCGAGTTTTCGTTTTAAAAAAATGGGAAATTTGAAATAATATGCACTCGCCCAATATAAAACAGGACTAGACGACGCTAACATCCTAGTGGTGACTTGAACATGTATAAAAAACAAACAAAATATTGTCAAGAATACCGCATGTACTATATAAGGAAATTCCGGTTTGCCTTTACCTAAGTTTATCAAGGCATGAACATTGTTTAAGAAGTATTTAAATCCAAAATTGAGTATTACAAATATGCAAGGAGAAGCTAGAATAAAATTAGGAATTTGCTTAATTTGGAAGTATCGCAAAAAACCGACATTCCAATATTTATCTTGAACATATGAATACGCCAAGCGGTTGCCACACCACGATAACATTGTCTGGTTATTTGGCATCAGGAGATTATTTTTATTGGCAAATTCGATTACATCAATATCCTGTATGGGTTCCTGTGAAATGCAGTATTTATAGTACGAATATATTTGAAAAAACGAAAAACAAAGCAAGACAAAACAAAGACCTAAAAATCCTTTTAGCATTATCTTATTTTTTTTTACAGCAGAATGGATCATTATGTAAAGAAAGAAACCGACGTTAAGAATACCGTTCGATCTAGTCATGGCAGAAATGCCAAAAAACATTGACGCTCTGCAGATTTGATCGTTTAAAATACTGTACATCCCATGAAATGTGGCAAATGCAAATAACGATTCCGAATAAGGGGCCGAGAAAAAAATGCTTGCTGGATTTAAACAAAATAATACTGCTGAATTATAGGCAAATACTGCATTTCTGTGCATGCTCAATGTCAAATCAAATAGAATGACAGCAGTGACGATAAATATAATATTGTTCAGGACAACACCTGCAACAAGGAAGACTGTAACAGAATTACCAGGAACGTAAGATGTTAATAATCGGACCGTGTACGGGTAAAATGGAAAAAACGCCAATGTGTTTTCATAAGTATAGCCATATTTGAATATATGTAAAAAATACTGAGCGTCCCAGCGGAGAAAACCACCCAGTAAATGGGTAATCACACAACCAACAGCTGTAGTATCTTCATGCCTTAATATAGGCGATATAAATACGCCTTCAGCGTTGTGATCTGCAATGAGAATGTTAAAAATATACTGCAGCAGCACCACTGTTAGGCGACTATATGTTGCTAAGCGCCAAATAGTGTTCCGGCAAATTTCTGAATCGAGTCGATCGCCCTAAAATTAGAAGAAAAAAAACTGAACTAGATAAACTCAAGCAACACGTCATGATAAGTAAATAATTTCGCTACTACCTTTTTTTTGCGCATTTCCATTTCATACTAACGTGCTGTGTTATATTATATGTTATTTCATCAACAACGTAGAACACAATACTCGAAAGATATTAATTTTAACACTTATAAGCAACGTTATTTTGATTTTTGAACAACATATCTAATTACTGATAAGTGATAACATATTAGTTTTTATTTGTTATCTTTATGATAACACTTTTTTTTAACATGTTTTTAGAGAAACTTGACAGCTAAACAGGAATATCGCGTGATTGCTGAACAAATTATTGGTCAATCTTATGATTTGGCTGCATATTATTAACCATAACACAAAAGAAATAATACAATCGTGGCTTAAAATAAAAATCACACAAACAAAAGTCGAATTTGTATTTTTCTACTGCTTATTGCTAAAGAGTTGTTTTCTTCTACTCAAAATGTTTCTTCACTTGAGCTTGTAACATTAATAAATTACATTAATTATGATATTGGAGCACGAAAATGGGGTTTTTTACTTGAAATTAGTGATCATCTTTAAACAGTTTTAAAAACCGTTTTAAATATTTAGATGTCAAGTGTTTTGATACACCAACACTTAAAATATGCACATTGTATGAAGTATACAAATATATACATGTTATAAAAGCTAGAAACTTAAATGAAAACTAAATTTACAATATCAAATTGAGTCAATTCACAAATTACCCAAATTATTTAAATTAGCATATTTAATATAATTTTATGATGGTCAATGATTAATATTGTATTTAATACATTCCTCCAATTGGTGTAATACAACAACTACTTCTCTTTATTATTTTAAAACTCAGAATAATCTTAATATATAAATATTAATAATACTGTTTAGTTATTTGTATTAATATTAATTAATAGTACCACTTTTAATAATTAGTATACATTTCATAGAAAAGAAAACCAAATCAAAAATAAATATAGTTACAGTATAACCTAAAAAAATGTTATTATGTATTTGAGTAGTTTGATTTTTTGTTACGCGAAAAACAAAATTAAAACATGATACAACAAATTATCTATATATATATATATATAGATAAATGAAATGCTGTTCGTTCATTATCGCATCACTTGAGACTAAGTTTGCAAGCATTTAACGATTATATACCACACATATATTTTAGAATCATAATTTTGTAATAGTGTTTTTAAATAAATACCTACCCAGAGTAAAAAAAGTAAAAGTAATATTAATTAAATATTGTTTTGGTTATTTTACCTAAATTCCACATTTAATATAATACTCATATGAATGATGCCTTCATTTTTTAAATCTATTTTAAGTTATCATACAACTTAAGCAAATAAAAAATATACATAGGTGTATAGGTAATTTGTAAGTACTTTGTTACAATTATATTTTTTGACCCGAGCAAAGCCGGGTACACAGGCAGCTAGTATTTTTATAAAAAAAATATTAATAGTGAAATGTCCAATATTAAACTTACAATTTGTATTTATAATAAAAAACAAACATTAGATTCACAATATACTTAAATACAAAGAATAGTTGATTGAACATTAGTGATAAGTCTCATAACATAAAACTTTAAAAAAGTTATTAATATACACATTAAACAAGCTACGTTAGTATCCAGAAATCAAATACAAAAAAACAATTTTAACGAAATCATATTGACAAAAAAATAAAAAATTTATACAAAAACCCTGATTATTTATTAAAAATGAGTTTGCCCGTGTGTATTTCCAGTTTCGATTCAAAGCGTACTGGTATAAGGTGTATTTTGTTTATTGTGCAATGTGAATATTTCACAAAATACGAGAAAATCACTTGTAGCTTAGTACAATCTTATGAACAAAAAAATGGTTATCATTTCTTGTACAAACACGAAAGACCGTTGGATAAAATTGAAACACAGTGGGATGATTTTCTCGTAGTTTGTGTGAAATTTCAGTTGGTTTGTGTAAAATGTCTGTCATAAATTTGTAGAATATGATGGTACCAATACAGCGACATTTGTGTTTTCAGAAAACAAGTCCCTTCTGGGTGTTATCTGAACAACAACAACAAATAAAACGAAATAGATAAGTGACAATTAAATTTAATTAATCACAAGTATACTTACACTAGGCAGAGCTGCTTCATGGTCCATGCTCATTTACGGACCTTAAATGCGTGGTTTCCAGATATTGTGGCTATGTTCCTTTTGTTGTTAGCAACAGCTTGTGTAAATTGAACTTTATTTAAAACTTGAGTTTTAGGCTGTAATTTAAAAATAAATATTTTTTTGAATTATTATAAGTTTTAATAACGAAAAATGATTTAACTGATACCTTTATATTCAGTGGAGATTTTGTATTGTTTTTCATTTCGTCCCACTGTGATTCAATTATGTCCAACAGTTTTTCGTCTTTGTAAAAGAAATGACAACTATTTTTCTGTTTATAAGTTTGTAGTTAGCCACAAGTTGTTTGTCCACATTTTTCAATCCCTATTAATTTAATTTTACTATTAAAACTTTATATTGGTCACCAGTAATAATGTAAATTGCTCTTTAAATCATTTTTTATAATATACAACTAACTTATTGACCTAATACATCTTCACCAGATTGGTCATTTTCTGTTCTAATATCTTATAACATTTAGAACTTAATAAATGATATGGCTCACGGCTGTTTTAAAAAAGTTGTGATGAAAAAAAGAAATCATAAATTTAAAAAAAATGTATGATGATAAAAATAAAAACTGTAGATCAAGAAAAATTTATTTACATTATCTTGAAGTCTTTTTAATTCTTTCATACATTCTTCTTTGATTTTTCTACATCCCTTCAACGCTTTAGCAATATTTATTTGAACATCAATCAAGGGCGTGGCATCATTATTATGATCATCAACAAGAATGCTCATCTGAAGTTCCTATGGGTATATGAATAAATTATTCATTAATTATAATGACTAATGCTCAATTGCAACAATAGAAATGAAGTACACAAAATATATATAGGCTGCCCTGATTTAAAATGTTTAATCCATTTTTAAAATTATACCTTTTCCAAAATATCTTTTTCAACCAATAAATCTTCAATTTTTTTGATAATATTTTGTTTATCTTTGTTAGATTCTAAAACTATATCATCAATGAAAGCCTAAAAGGTAAAATAATAATGTTTTAGCTTGAGTTTGTATGTTACAGTATGTTATGTATTTAATTTACGGTTATATGGTTTATCAAGTGTTCATGTATTTGTTTTTTTTTCTCTTCAGATGAAATACCACAAATGATGTCCAAATTTTTCTTCACTTTCTTGATCTCGTTTTTTGAATTCATGTGAAGCTCATCTAGAATTATTTGAAATTTGTTAGAATCAGGACTAAACATTAAACAATACAATTATTTGAATAAATTATCGATACGGTCAAAGATAATTTTATTATCATTAAATATAAGTATACTGAACGAATCTAGGATAAAAAATGTCAAATGTAAATATTGTAGGACCCCTAGCGTAACAATAATAATCAAATGTCAGTCAAATTAACAAAAAACCCATCATTTTAAATTGTATAGGTAGTTTTTAGGCACTCTATAATATTAATAAAATCAATTGTGCGAAAATGCCTCTTTAAGGTAATAATTATTGAAAAATGCCTCCGAATGATGCACCAAAGTCCATTATCCAGAGAACTTCCTCCTATTTGCCTATATAAGAGCCCTCGGGAGCAGCTCTTGAAAAGTTGGATTTAAATGGTCAGAGTACAGACATCTTCGTGTCAGCCTGTTTTGAAATATTTGTGTGAATTTATTAATAGAACATATAATTCATAACTCAGTTCAGTGTTCATTTTAATTACTTTATTAAAACTACCCATATCTGACTTTGGCACATATTCGGTATTCCTATTTAAAGTTTGTCAATATTTGTGTGTGTATATATACATTATAATTGTAATAAAATGTCTGTAATCGGTTATCTTATTAGCTGCCAGCAATCTACACATTATTTTTATTATTGATAAATCAGTGAAGGCCCTCAATATTAAAATATAACAATAAATAAAATTGGATATTTCTGTGGCTATTTTTACCATATTGAACGATACAAAGGGAAATGTAGAAAGTTATAAAAGAATGTGGTAGAATTAAGTACACTTTACCGGGTACGTTTTTTTAAGGTCATTTTGGGCAAGGAATCCTCTGGCGCCTCTGGTTCAAACCTTATAGCTACTCAATCTTTGAAAATTATCATTGCGCACGATGCCTGCTCCATAATCCAGTAGTAGCGAGTCGACTGTCAGCTGCAAGCTACTACAATATGCCCACTACTTTATGGATTCCCTAAGCCAACTAAATTTAGGAGCCGATTCCAGTCCTAAACCTTCAGAGGAAAAAATAGCTTATCTAAAAGGAATAAAAAAGCTTACATGATACTGCTGTGCAAGTGGTCACCAACCTAACAAATCTGAACCAATACTTCCCACCCACTCTTTAAAATAAAATAATGAGAATGTAGACATAAATTAGAAATAGACACATAAAATAATTTATTGTGATCAAATAATTATTATATTGTGTTATTAAGCAAACGGCTGTGTTTTTCAACCTGCAAGAGTTTATCGCACAACAATACTTTTTAGTTCAAGTAGCTATAACCTTTTAACAAGGTAGAGAAATCTGTAGATTTTTAACTTCAGATTCGTAATCAGTGTTAAGAACACTATAGAATGGTAGTACAAACAATTGCATAAAAAAAAAAGGAGCTGGGCTTCGAGGTAATGATTTTTTTTGATAAGAAGTTCTTAACTCAAATTAAACATACTATTATTTTTCAACAGAAATAATTGAATACCTAATATATTATTATAGCATAACGAATGTGGAACTTACTCATTTTTCAACAAAGGCGATCGTCAGCCAGAAGGGACTTGTTTTCTAAAAACACAAATGTCGCACCATTAAACTCGACAAATTTAAATGACAGAAATTTAACACAAACTACGAGAAAATCGAAAACAATAATAATTATTGTCTTTGATTTTCTCGTATTTTGTTATTCTACAAATTTATGACAGAAATTTTACACAAACCAACTGAAATTTCACACAAACTACGAGAAAATCGTCCCACTGTGTTTCAATTTTGTCCAACAGTCTTTCGTCTTTGTACAAGAAATTACAACTATGTTTCTGTTCATAAGTTTGTAGTAAGCCACGAGTGATTTTCTCGTTATTATTAATTTATTATTCACATTGCACAAAAACAAAATACACCTTACACCAATGCGGTTTGAATCGAAACTGAATATACAGACGCACAAACACACCAACAGAATATTATAAATAATAAATAATAATGTAAAAGCCATTATTCTATTTCTGTGTATTAATTATTATAAACTATAAACTATACTTATTACTTAGTTAAATATAAGGAAGGTAAAATACGACAATGTGATAACGCTCACCGTCGCCGGTTCGACCACAGATAAGATTTATCTAATCATATCAATAAATTAATATTTATATATTAAGATTATACTGAGTTTTAAAATAAAAAAGAGAAGTACCTAGTTGTTATATTAAATAAATTGGTGGAATGTATTAAATACAATATTTATCGTTAACTTTCATCATAAAAATGTATTAAATATGCTAATTTAATTAATTTAGATTGTATGGGAAATTTGTGAACTGACTCAATTTGATATTGTAAATTTAGTTTCCTTTCATATACATTTCTAGCTTTTATAATCTTTAATATATGACATGTACATATATTATATTTGTGTACCTCATACAATGTGCATATTTAAAGTGTTTGAATATCAAAACACTTGACATCTAAATATTTAAAACGGGTTTTCACCGCGACCCTATTAATTTTTAATTAATTACATTTTATTATGACTCTAGAAGCCATAATATCTATTTCTTATATTTTAAAAGCCAAAGAAAATACAACTCTGTGCCAAGAGTCTTAATAAACACATAATTATGAAAATGAACATACTAGAACAGTTTCTAACATACTAATTTTAGGTTTTTTTTATAAGATTTACCCCCCAATAACTGATGTTTATCTGAATGTATTAAATTCCTTCATAATTTTAAGGATGATAATATATCAACTATAAAATCTAATAATTCACTTTTAATATAACCTAGTATTATAATATTTAGTGAACTTAAAAGTCCATTTTAGAGAGATCACGTTAATGTTCTTTTTAACTCCATAATTAAAAAATCCCTAATTACCAAATAATTTGTTTAAGTAGCCAATGCATCAGGCTAAAAAAGGATGAAATAAGGAATTTTATGTTCTTTTTTAATTTTAACAAATAGCGTAATAAGGTAAATTTGTGTAAGCGTTAAAATTAAAATTTATCAAGACAGCTTCCGTATAAGAATCATTAAGTCGGTATTTGTAGAAACCCTATTATAAATTTCAATTATACTAGGTTCACTAAATATTGGTTTTACGTTTGGAGATCATTTTAATAAATAATTTTATAGTAAGCATATAGAATAAATAATGATCACGCTAAATTAACATACCGAAGCATTTACTAATATACTTATGTATGTCATATACATAATATATTTAATATTATATTATAATTATAAATTATAATAATATAATAGTAGATTTGTAATAAGTAAACGGAACAAACTATACTAATATATTTCATTTTGACCTAACCTGTCCATTATTTATAAACCATCCTCCATCCTATCTTAGATTAATTTCTCGGTAAGTCCCATTTTTATTTCATTATATATTTATCTATAAATGGCTCTCCGAAGCCTGAGTTCTTGGCAGTCATTCCTTGTAAAACTGCATTATTAATTATATTGCAACCTACCTTCTGAAAATCGAAAAATAATTTAATAAACGAACTCAAAAATTCCACCTATTTCCTACTAAGTTATTATACAAAATGTTGTACATTTGATAAATAATAACGCCTTGCTAAATCTATTAAACAATTAAATAATTTTTAAATCAAAATGTAAAAGCAAATTATTTTTAATGTAAAGTAATATCATCTAGACAATCAACACCGTCAGTTTTATTGGAGAAAAAAATTACAATAGGTACACAATAAAATACATTTAGCTCATCTTTGAATCTAAAAATTATAAGTTAATAAATATATATAGTAATTCATGAACAACACTTAAAACATTACAAATAAAACTATTTTTTTAATAATTATATTAGCCTAGTACATCGTACCTAGTATATAGTAGTTTTTTTTAACCTAGTACATCTTCTAAAAATTAATTAAATGTATTTTTTAGTTAACAAAAAAAAAATATGTAATAATAAAATAAGAGTACAAAAATTGGGATAAGCTGCTCAAGATGAATAGCATATCAAAAAACGATTTGGCTGGTAATTTATTCACGAAGATAAAATTACTAATAGAAATATTGTGCTATATTTTACTGGCTTCAAAAGTTTTTATAGTAGCCAAGGGACTGAGAGGTAGCTAGAATAAAGGACGGAATAGGTTTGAATGTATAGCACCTTTGAGACTACAACAAACTGTTTGCATGGAGCTGTAAATTAAGTTAGCAAACCATGAAACAAAAAGAAAATAGGACACATGGCATGCAGGTATTTTCAAAATTGTGGATTTCGATTACTTAGAAGTACCTAATAATAATAACAATACTATACATTTGCTTATGTTTACAAGTACACCTACTTAAATTGTAAACAAATATGGAGTTAGCAGTGAAAAAAACTTGCTGAGAAATCTTAAAAGTTGCAACGAAAAGGAAAATTTTACTTATTTGTTGGACCTTGTTATTTTTTTACAAAAATGTAATAATCGTATGTAACTTTTGTGATTGATTTTGAATGTAAATTTAGCTTAGAGCTTTTATGGTTTTATAGGGGAACATAACGGGCAAATACTATATAGTGCATTTTGTATTCAAGGGATATGGTTTCTACGAGAACAAGCTTGTTTTGATTTTAATGGTAAAAACATGATACAAATATTAAGTACCACAAATGGGTTATTATTAATCTAAGAATAAAAACTTAATAAATTTAAATGTTGAGCAATATACGCGTCTTGAAAACCGGTTTAGGTGGAAATTAAATGTATCATGTTTCATAAACAATGACCACAGGTAACTATTAATACAAGTTATAATAAACAAACCAAATGGAATATAATATAATAATCATAGTCATTATAAATTAAAACTTGATATGATAACATGTACTTTGAAGACATAATTATTGGGTAATCCACAACAATTTTACAGTTTTAAAAATAATTTTTAAGAATATTTTGACACATTATTTATGATAATACAATTTACAAAGTCCGGTTAAAAACCAGTACAGTAAAAGTGTACTTGGACGTTAAACAATCGGCAGGTATTATCTTCACTATACGTTTATGAAACTACACAAGTTTTGACGTCAGGTTTTGTTCCATTTTTCTCTTTTTGTCTTATTAGCTTCTTGCAAATCGCATCTGAATTAAAAAAAAAACATACCTATTATTATTACATAAATGTTATAATAATATAATATCTTTATTAATTAATCAAGTTATTTTAGTGGTCTTAAAAAAATATAGACATAATAACATAATACCTTATAAATTATTTCTTATAATATTTCTTTAAAACTCGCAGTGTATTGTAGAAATATTTTTATTTTCTTAGAAATACATTTATATTTTATATTATACATGCTGTATAGGAATAAGTAAAAATCCCAATTAATATAGTACCTAAATTTGTACACCTAAATCTTACAGTCTATATGAGATTAATTTGTAATTTAATGACATGACTTGAAGTATTATGGCCTTGGACATTTAATGAAAAAATTTAATATAATTTTGTAGTATAAATTTTAATTAAATTATTTTTTATTTTTTATTTAAATTCTCCCAAATAAAACAATTATTTGAAATAATTATTTAGATATACGTTTGAATAAGAATACAATTTTATTAATTACTTAAGGTTTTTTTTTAGATTATTAATGTGTCTTAAATAATTAGGTATTTAAATTGTCATTTAAATAATGTCCAGACCGGGTTCTATACCTACTCTTAAGAAAAAGAAAACTTTTCCAAAGACAAAAACTGTTTTCTTTTATTAGCATTTAAATTACTTATACTTAAGAGTAATCAAACCCAAATCCATAATTATAATTTAGTTCTTAATTGAAAGTATAATACTATTATATAATATAATATAATAGTTTGTAACAATAATGTGCTTAAAAAATTAAACCAATTTATAATTAAACTTCACGTGTATAATAATAAATTATTTATAATATAACAAAGCTATACCATATACAAAGCATATAGCTTTAATCATTTTTAAATCTTCTGCAACTGAGGCCTTAAAAGCTTGTAGTACACATATTGTGTACATTACTAGTTACTAGTACAATAATGAGGAAACTTTATTGGTAATAGGTTTTTTTTATTACACTATCAGAGCGTCTATTCGCAATTATTTTGGCTACATTTATTTATTTACTTTATGATAATAATATTATAAAAACTAAACCGTTCTATTTTGACGGTAATGAAATTGGTCATAGACTCAAAAAAAAAAAAACAATACTACCTAATACCTATACTATGAACAATGTCCGCTTTTTTATATAAATATTCATTATGTTTTTATTTAAGTAATTAAAAAACATAAAAATTAAGTTATTAGGTTATTAACAATAATACACTAACACTAACAGTGTGTACTGCTAATTTTAAATGTTTTTCTGATTTTTTAAAACTAGTATTACAAACAAAATAGGGAAGTTAGCAAAAAAAAAGTTGGCAGGTTTTACATATAAATTTTGGAATCTGCGTCCTTGAAATTAATAAAAATAATCACATAATAGACTTTAGTTATTAAGAGGCTATTAATTTTACTTACATGTCATAATTGTCAGTTTGGTCTATGAAACGTTATCGTATTAACGGTTATGCACAGCTAATTATAATGTATTCAACTGACAACAGTATTCCCTTCGAGAAGTGTTGAGTATTAAATTTAATACAATTAACCAATGAACACTCCATTAGCCATCCACATTGAATTTATTAGAACGTAAGAGACACTCAACAAATTAAATTTACTCAATATTAATTTAATATCCAACCATAAGAGATATGAAACTATAATAAAATGATAAACTATATTTAGTTTTAATAAAAATTATATCTTTTATCTGTACATGGTCTATGATTTGCGACATGAACAAAATATATAGTATACTAAATCAAGTAAATAAATAAATATATTAATTCATTTTTTAATTTTATTCCGTATTCCTAACTGTAGCTAACCATGTGTAAATATTTTATAACCTACGTTATTATTTATGTGAACTAAATTATTAAAATTCATACCCGAGCGTTGCCCAAGGGTCTGTCAAAGTCATAAATATTACATCAATTTAATTCGAAAACAGTAAATTATTTAATCCTGTACTGCAGTTAGTTTTAAGTAGAAATTAACTTAATATGTTAAAAAATGACACGTCTTCAAAATTATTGGTTTAATATTTTTTTTAGCTACAAAATTAGGTAAATGTTTTGTATTCTATTTTTAGTATTTTTTAAAAACAATTTTCTTTTTTATCGCCTAAGGGCATTTGTATTTAGACATTCAACGCGCTTATAAATACATACCAAAGAGAATATGCATACAAGAAGTAAAAATATTTATAAAAACATTTGGGGAATTCAGGTGAAGTACTAAGTAACCTCAATTCTTAATCTAATTAGACAAAGACAAACAGCTTCAGTCTTCTGAAACGTCTTGTGTAAATTATTAAGAAGTTGAAGGGAGGCTGTGTGTTTATGTGCAGCTCCAGTATTTTTACCTGTTTGGTAATTGAATTTGAAGGTGTTTCTGGTTATATTAATTATTCCGTTCTTTAATATCAAATAAACCGATAAGATTGCGATAAGTTATTGCAGGCATGAACAATGTAGTGAAATATGAATATATTTTCAAATATTAATTCAGAACTGCCAAGTGCAGCAAGTGTATTTGCTAACCCACTGAAATGTTTAGAGTATTCAGAAGTTATTTTCACTTGATGGATTTCTTGGTAATATTTTGAAGCATGTCCCATTGGAATTCAAATTGTTTATTTAGTGCAGTAATCGTATTTACCAACGTGGTAGGTAAATAATCATTTGCTGTTAGTGCTACTACTACCAGTTTTTTGTGTGTTAAGTTTGTTTGCAATGTCAGATCAGAGAAGATAACGCTTACTTTTTATATAGTACGGAATTAGAAATGATAAGGTTTAAACGATACAAGCAGTGCGTTTTAAACAACGTCAATACATATTATAATAGATGAAACGTTGTGATTTTTTATAATTACTACAAAAACCACACAATTAGAAAAAATCATAGTTTTTATATTCAAATTTAATTGTTTAAACCCCTATTTTAGGTTCACACACGGCATTGGTTAGCAGTCGTTAATCCGCTTTCACTAAAACTTAATGCAAATTAAGTAAATAATTAGATTAAAATGCTGATAACACTGTTGCTTAATTATTAAATTCGGCTCTTTAAATCAAATTCAAAAATTGTATTATACATATGAAATATTGAGAAAAATCATAACCGATTGTTTTAATGGATTCGTTCGACAATTCAAATTTATTAAAAATTTTTTTTTTAATTGAATTTTCTAGCATTAATATATTAAATTAATAATACAATATATTATTATAATATAATATTTTATTTTATATTACATTTACATACAGACCTATAAGAAAAAAACTTTTTTTTTCGGATACAGTCTAGTTATTATGCTAATCACTTAAGAGTTTTAAAATTATGGAAATTTGAATTGGTTGTGTTTTAACATTTGTTACCTCAGGCATAACATATATTTAAATAAGGCTTTTAATATGGGTAAAATGGTAGGTTAGTATGTACTGCTGTACGTATAAAAATGAGTTAATTTTTAAATAAAATTAACCTAATCATATTTTTAAGAATACAAAATATATTTACCGGCTAGAGTTTTTTTTTCAATAGTGTTAAGACTATCAATTAGCTCGTCGATTGGATCAAGATCAGAACCTAAACTGTCTACCCAAATTCTTAACATCCTGTAACCATGTTGCTTGTAACTAGAAGGACCTGTAAATAATAATAATATATCACGTATGTTATATTTTATTAAAAAGTATATTATAATATAAAATATCGACCAATTAACATTTTAGAGTTTTAATAAAAGCTAATAGATCAGTTGTCAACTGTCCAAAATATATCTTTTTATAAAGCTATTATATTATGTACCTTGTTATTTTTATGAATATAGTTTATACTATTTACAATCAATCAAAAGTCAATCAAACTCATTCGTTTTACTACAAGTAAATATGTATCAAAAATAATGTAAAAATTACAAATTATACAACATGGGGAAATTCATTTATATATCACTTCTTAAAAATAAAAGCGTTTTCAATATTTGTTTTTCATCAAAACTATATGAATATTGTAGGCGGTATCAGTCATTCTAGAACTAACTGTATATTTGTAAAAAAGTTATATAGCTGTTAATATTACTAAAAGATAAATAACACACTACTGTCATTTTTTATTATAATTAAAAACTTAGGTAATTTAAAAGTGTAAAACATAGATCATAGATTTAAAAAACAAGAAAGTCTACACAGAAGAAAACAGTATGAAAATAAACGATATTATTATGACTGAAGTCTGAAATAATTGTAAAGAATTTAATTATAGAATGTATTTTAATGATGTTCATACAACATTATAAACTTTAACTAAATTTTTAATTCTTATTTAGTAATTTGTTTTAAAACTATTATTTTTTTATCTTCTGTTATTTTTTTAAAAACAATATCCATTCATTAATTTTTTAATAATAATAATCATGTATAACGTATATTTCTTTATTATTTAAGCAGCTATAGAAATTCCATATTCATATTGGTGAAAAAAATAAGGATTTTATAATATTTTTTTACGTTTCATTTTCACTCAGTGAAACAGTTTGGTAATTTTGTTTAAAAAAAAAAAAAAATCGCATCCGTGTATTTTGTTTGGGATTGGAAGGTTATTTGTTGGGTGAATACTCAAATACATAACACGGAATCTACCCGAAATATGATTGAAAAATACATAATAAAAAAAGGGAAACGTCAGCAAATCTTGTGACATGAAAAAACCATTATAAACCCACGAAATGGACTTCAAAACAGTCAAATTTGTTTGAATATTTTTGTTCTTCTCCGTCGAATCACTTTTTTATACATTCGGATATAGTTTAAACTTTATAAAAAATAAAGTAAACTAAAAATAACATAACATAATCTCTATCATACAACATGCTATGTATGAATATTTTAAACCTAATCATAAGTCCTCGTTAATGCCATTAAGTTTTATATCTAATAAACCAGAATCGAAATCTCAATATAATTGTTTAGTAAATCAAAACTATTAGGTATAATATTTATTAAAATTGGGTACAAGTTAGGTAATTTAAATTATATTTTGTGTTTCTTCAAATATAATATTGTTATTTAAATATTGGCTGTAATTAACACATTGAATGCCATTAAATCATTTACTAATGTACCTGTATACTGATGTTCTATGGCTTTGATTTGTTCGTCGGTAAACGCCCACAAATGAGCCAGTTTTTTCCATTCCCCGGGACTCAGTTGTTTGTGTGCCAACTTTTGTAAAATCATGTCCAAATTTTCATCAGTCTCCTGTAGTGTTATTGAAACGTCTAAATCAGGATTGCATTTCCACTTTCTTCGTTCTTCAGGCGTTTTCGGTACGGTTCCTTTCTAATAGAAAAATACAAATCCGTCCTTACAATATAAACACGACTGTCTGTAATTTATTAGGTTTTACAATTTTTCACCTTTGGCGTATACTCCAGACGAGCTGTCTTTATTATCATGTCTACTATGGCGGTGAAACTTCCTCTAGCTGCTATGTACAGTGGCGTTTTCCCACCCTGAATTTCAAAACATCAATTTATTATGTATGCTATATCTACTAACGTGCAGTCATATTTATATTTACAGATTTACTATTTATTTATTATAAAACAAAACTATGATGGTAAAACATAGGTTGTAAAATTAATGTTTAATGTAATAATAACAAACAAACAAAAAAAACGAAAAATTAACGGTTTTTAAATTGATTAGTCAAAATTGTGTGTACGTTTATAATGCATATTGAAGTACTTTATTATGCTTACTTATGGGAGCATATATGTTTGTACTATACTAAAATTAGATGAACTAACATTTTTTGAAAATCGAATGTGTTATTTATATTATACAAATCAGAACAGATTCAACTAATGTTAATGTAGTTTTAGGAAACCCCTATTGTTTTAGATGTTTTATTAATATTTATTTTTATTTTACATTTTTATTTAAGTATATTATTAATATGTTTTTTTTTATATATTCAATATAGGTTAAATCGTGATTTAAATGAGAAATTATATTTTACTTGTTCTCTTTGTTCGATGTTTGCTCCAGCACTTAATAATAATTTACAAATTTCTGAGTACCCTTGTTCCGCTGCGATATGTATTGGTGACTGTAATCTCTGTAAAATATTATTAAAAATAAACATTATTAGAAATTATCAAGATGTCATGTACATATTATATAATTGAACATTAATAAAAATATAACATATGGAACATATATATGACATATAATACATAGTTTTACCGTATTTAGTGCGTTAAGATTGGCTCCTTTATTAATGAGTATTTCGGCGATCACTACATTATTTGACAAACAAGCCATGTGTAAAGGTGTATTTCCGTTCTGTCAAAATTTAAACATTATTTTTTAATTATTTTTTTAAGGCATAATTCTAACAAGTATGGTTTTCGGTGGCACACACTAATGTTTTTATTTACATGATTTTTATCTATTAACACTCCCATACCCATGAATATTTTAAACACACTTTTAGGATAACGATCTGACTTATGGTGTTATCCCTACAAATTAGCAGGGCTTGTGTACGGGAATGAGGGGACAATGTATGCTTGTAGTATACAAGAATCGAACCCTTGCACCTTATTGTGCTAAATCCAATGTCGCACTGTGGTATGTTGACATTTGAGATGAAGTGGTGAATATTATTCTCAAAAGACCGTCCTTTGGCCCTTTAAATTATACCTCGAAATACCCAAAACACTATTTATTTGTAAAAGGAGTGTCAACCGACGTGCCTATATCTCTATACGCGCGCCACTAGCAAATTCAAAATTGATTGTAAGTAATGACAGTATTTTACTTTGCTTTGTCGGTCGGTATCACAGTCTGTTGCTAAAAGCATTTCGACTATCCCTCGGCATCCGTGGCTACTGGCTATGTGGAGAGCAGTCAGACCTTTCTAAATAAACATAAATAATATATAAAGCACGATTATCAAGCTGGAAAATAATCCTTGAACTCGCATTATAATATGTAATTTATTTATACAGCCATAATATTTGTTATTTGCTTTGCGCTTATTATCAGTTAATTTGTATGTGCATACATTAAGCGATTTAACCCTGGATGTAATCAAGTGATATAATTAATCAAGTATTTTTTTTAAAATAGCCAAATCTACCAACTCGGTTTAATAAAGTTTTTATAATAAAGAAGATACGGTACAGATTGTGTATATATTAATAAAGAAAAAAAAAACAAATGTGTAAACTAAACCTTTTTTTTTAGTTAATCGTCATTGTGTCTGTGTTCATATTTTCAGTTAATTAATTTACTTGAATTAAATGAAAAAACAATAATAAAGCAATATTTCCGTGATAATGATTTTTATTAATTCTTAAATGGTATACAGAGAAAGTTATTCGAAGAAGCTTTTGGTACGGTAACATGGTACATAAAACAAGTTTTTAGTAAGTAATACTGGTAACTGTAGCCAACCATTGTCAATATTCAATTATTTGGTACTTGTGTCATAATACTAGTTGTAAAGTGGTACAATGCTATTGAAATATTATCGCTAAAAGGTACATGTATAATAATTTTTAGCACAAATTTTTAAAAAAAACTCTTTGAAAATACTACGTCAATATAATAAATCAGTCAGTACACTGATTTTGTGTCACAAAAAAAATCGTGAAATATTACCTGCCACAAGCTAAAATGTCCATAGCATTTGTTTACTGTATGCTTGACTTTTGATAACGTATGTAAAATACTCTTAAAAATAAATTCAGAGGATAATAATTTCAAATTCTTATTATGGTATTTGCTTAATATGTTAAGTTTATATTATTTTAATTATCAGCAGATAGGCCCAAAATTAAATAATTTAATCGCTTTCGACTTAGCGGCAAAATAATTGTCATGAATTCAACAAAACATCCTTTATTACCTAAGCAACTATTAATCATGGTGGTATCCTTAAAATAATAGATATTAAGTTATATAAGCCGTCCTTCTGTGATGTTAGGACAAAATGGAATAATTTATTTATTTTCCAATTGGCGGTTGGCCAAACTAGTATGGTTTATTAGTGATTAACTTGATTTTTGACCATAAACAATTTATGGTTTTAATTACCATAGAATTATCTGCAGTATTTTTAACAAAAAACAATTTTTTTTAACAAGTTTTAATAAAGTCCATAACAAGTTTGGTACACAACCCAAAAATCACAATTTTATGACTTGACCCGTTTTTCTCTAACACCACCGAATTTTATTTTGTTAAAACTCAATATATTTTTGATTAGTACTTTGGTTTGTGTAGTAAATTTGAATTAAAACTAAAATGTAGGCCAACATGAGTTTAAAAGATAATTGTAGTTTTGCATTTATCCTCATTTAGCACTATGGTAAATACTTTATGTAGAAATGTTTGTATAATATCTTTCAAAACCACTTTCTGTTTTCAGTTAATTACTTGTATTTTGTTTCTACAATATCTAAATACATTTATTCATTAACATGTTTACATTATAGTTGGGCACATAAACTTTAAATAGCGTGTCTAAACTCATTAGTCGGCGAATGATAATAAATAGGTATAATGTTGTTTACTAGTGCCTATGATTTTATCAATGTTCTTGAATATTATTTTACATTAATAACAAAAACAAGATCTAGATTTTAGAATAAATGACAGTTTGACAGTTTAATTAAAAATAAATAGTAGATGAACACAAATACACAAGGAAAAAACAAAAAAATTAGAAACATTTATGTTGAATAGTTATTATATGCTAATTATTATATTAATTATAAAGACCACCAATTAAATACATAATGGCTCCTACATAGTTAAAAAAAGCTATATTAGATATAACAAAGGGACAATATAGTGATACACTTTAGACAGTAGAGATCGATATATCAATAAACTACTGTATTATGATAATAAACGTTTTGTTTTTCTTACAACGACTCGTTAAAATCAATTAATTACTTTTTTAATTTAATATTTTTGTATTGTTCTTTTGGCTGTATTGTTTTTTGATAGACTTTATTTAATCAACAAACTTGAACAATATAGAGAAAATTGTTGTTGAACGTCAAAGAGCGTTGAACAATACAATAACTCATTTCAAACAAACGACAGAATAGTTTACAACTAACCCTTTTAGTCATCACTTTTTGTCCCTTTCTCGGTAGTATTTAAATATTCAAATCTAACAATAATAATATAGCGGCTCACACGAGATATGAAACCTAGTCACGTTTCAGATGATTTTATTTCAGAATTATTTTTTTGTTTTATTTCATCGTATTTAAATATATTCAGTAAATACTTTTGAAAATATAACGACAATGTTTAATTTACATGAAATATAAATATTTTAAGTTATATATGAGGTGAGGTTAAGTTAATTTTGTTAAATATCATTAAATTACCATTGTCTTATTTTCATTTATATTTGAGTCACTGACGTTCAGCTTTTAATTAAATTAAATGTATTTGTAATTAAAGTGCAAATGTTCAAGAGTGAACATTTTGTTGAAAATAAACTTTTCCAATCATACAACAATTATTGGTGTTTTAATACCGTTTGAATACTTACACTATTTTCTAGATTCGTAGGGTTGCCTGCTTCTAATAACATTTGGACTACGTGGGTTTGCTTGTTTTCTACAGCTACGTGTAACGGACTGTTTTGCTCCTCATCTCTAGCTAACATATCAGCACCGTGACCAAGTAAAAAGTCCACGACATCCACATGACCCTTTTCACATGCCGAATGAAGTGGTGTTCTTCCTTGCTGTAAATTAAAGACAATTTAAATATAAATTCAAACTTTAAACTTCAAGTACCTCTTCCAGAGGAATTCACGTTTTGGGAATGCTAAAGTTATTTAGGGAAACAGCTGTGTGCGTACAACTTAATAATTATTCAGTAACGCCGCAGGGCTTGTGATTAAACTCATAATATTACACGTTTAATATAAGTAATAAAGTATTTTATGAAAACATTAAACAGCTGTATTTACAACACTTTTCCCTATGTTATATTCTCTAAAAATGACAAAATATTATGTCTCATAGTTGTGCAAATGATGGATAGTGGAATTTTGTTTTAGTAAATTGTAAAGTTTATAATGTAACTCCAAGCCATTTACAATATACTATTACAATGCAATATTTTAACATGATGGTATGACGTTATGTGAACTTGGGCTTCCTTTTAGAGGGTATATATTAAAAAAATGTGAATATAGATTATAGTATAATAGTTATAAAAAAAAACAATTGAAAACAATAAAGTTTTGACAATATTTTTGCATTAATAATAACAATAAGTAATACATCAAATGACATAAAAATGTTGTATATTAATTTTAGTATACTTTTCACAAGTTTTAACACTATATAAAACATGTTTAAACCAAAATGATTATATAGGTATTATGTTACTGTTAATGACATCAAATTAATTAACCCTTATAATTATTTATTAAAAATTAAGGACTACCTAACATGCCTATTAATTTTTGATGTTATAACTCAAGTTGCTTGTCTTGACATTGTTAGTATAACGAGCTCTTTAATAAGGATATTTAAACGTTAAGCAAAAAAAATAATTAAAATATGTTAAAACATTTTAGAGTAATGTTTAAGAGTTTTTAAACATGACTGTTTAGTTTGCATTGAGTTTTACTGATTACCATGATGAAAACGGAATATTCATAGAATATTGTGTTTCTTATTCATCGAATTAATTCAGAAAAATATAAGTTAAGTTTATTACGACAAATAAATTAGCCTTGGAGAAGTAAAAATTTGATTAAGTTGACAAAAAAACAACCAACCTTTTTGTGTTTAGTCGAGTAAAAACAAATCGTACGTTGTGCATAATACCTACCATTCAAGTAAGTTTAGACGGGGTAGGACACAGGTCTAAACATTTTGCAATGATTAATAGTCATTCAATTTAGGACATTGTATTCCAAGCTGTTAGTTGAAATCTATAGTTCAAACCTACCGGTCGATTAAATACAAAAGACTTTAGACAGTTTAAAAAATAGAACTATTCACAAATCACAATGTAATCTAATCTGATAAACTGAATGTAAGTTTCACATTACCACAGCGAAAACACTAATAAAACTAATAATTTTATAACGCCGTTGTTTTCCTTTTCTTGTAAATTTGATGGAGTAGGCGTTTTCCGTTAGCAGCTTTATAATTAGTCTGCTGTTGGTTGTTACGTGATTAGTGACCAGAGACGGTGTCAGTCATTATTCACCGAGGCCGGGGTCATATTACTCTCCACTCAGTCGTTGGCTTGTATTTAATGCCCATATGTCAATCCCCTTTGCCCTTTGGTCATGAAATAAATATACTTTAGAAACACAACCTTTATTCCTGTTAAATGAGTTGAGAATTTAGAGACTATATTATATTGTAGTGCATATGTACCGCTATTAAACGCGATTGACTAACATGATATTTTGTACTTGAAGTTTTTTACAAAGTTGTTTTTTTTCTTATCATAACAAAAATATATACAACCAGTATTATAAGTACAGACAATATAAATATAAACTCAAAGTCTAAGAAACCAAAAATCACCTTCAAGTTATTTCATGAATTTTTCAATAGTTAATTTATTATTAATTAAAAAATGATGTTTAATCAATGAGATTACACAGTATTTCCAGTTGATTTCTTAAGGAATTAAATGGTTTATGTTTTTCATTAACCTTAATATTTGAATATACTTCAAATATTTTAAAATTTTGACTCTTTCTTTATTTTGTTTACTTCCAAGATTTTCTCATTAAAAAAGAATTGTTTTATCATTGAGTTGAAATCACTTGATTATACATTTACAAATTATCTATTTAAAAACAACACCATGTTTCTATTTTTCACCTACCTCCATATATTATTTTCTTAACATTCTCAATAGTATCTTTAAATTAACATGCATTAATTGTTTAGCTTTTTAAATGTTATGTGTACTTTTTTTTAAATGTCTTAATCCCCCGGATAGATGATAAGTGTACTAACTTATAGTGTACTACTTACAAGTATACTAAACTATTTTGAAATGTTTTATTTTTATTCCCATCCACATTGTCTACCGCTCGTTAAATTAATTTTATCTCAGCAATTGTTGTTAATGAAATTAAAATGTTTTTTTTTTCCGAATGCGCTTTGCTTTAACTTTCTTAATGTAATTAAATTTAAATGACAAGAATGGCACACTTTGGGGGGTAAAACAATTCGAACCCACAAAATACGGAATACCTGTAATGATTATAGTGAAACTAAATTTAGGGCATGGGCTTCAAGTAATCGAGTTTTTTATGAATTGCGACTCGACTGTACATTATCGTGTTTTATTTATTATTATTATGAAGGTTAAACATTTGTATTTCCTTTTAGCTCTTTATTTTTCACATATATTAACTATACATACAGGGTAATTTAATGTATGGTAATCTATTTTCTAAAAAAATGATTACAATTTTGAAGTTCTTCTTTTTGAAAAAATAATTTGTTATGTTTTTTTTTTAACATTACATATAAAACTACCAAATATTTGCCTGTTTTAGAGTTATCCAGAGCGCTATCAGCTTTTGAAACTTAAGTGGAAACGTATATATTTAATTATTTTTTTGAAATAAAAATAATTTGATGAACATTTTAAATGATCGATAGTCAGTTTTGAATAATTACTTTTAAAGTATAAGTCGGGGTTTTTTTTTCAATACAGAATCAATTAGTATTAAATTTATCTTTTTGCATTAGTTAACCACACACCATTTCCCGTCCTATATTTTAAACTCTGATTAATTTTAAATTATTAACGAAAACGGATTATTGATCATTCAAAATGTTCAGCAAATTATTCTTCTTTTAAAAAGTTAATAAAATATTTACGTTAGTTTCAAAAGTTGATGGCGCTCTGGAAAATATTAATAAAGGTAAATATTTGCTAATTTTTTAATATTAAATGGTAATATATTTAATATTGCACGGTGTTTTAATAAAATGTTTTAAGAAAAACTATAAAATTGTATTTTTTTCCGCGAAAGTCTCGTCGTGTCTTTAACATAAAATAGATCATCCGGTAGTATGCGTGCCTGCAGCCATTACTTTTTATCAGATACCATTTACGTGTCCATCCAGAATGACTTACGCACGAACCGTAAAGTACTCGAATTCGTGTGATAATATTAAAATCATCATTCTCAGTACAAAACATTATTTTTCATTATTATCACATCGTAGGTAGATATAGTTGATTTAATGACTGAGAGATTATATATTATATTGAAATTGGATATAAAGTACTCTAGGCATAGCCACTGAATTTATTATATTATATAGAAATATATTGGCCCCGATTCGTAGCTGAGAAGATATTGTATTTACAATGATGTTTTAATTGTGTCAGTACCCACGACAACTTCTAAACCTTTTTCTTAATTTCGCTTTTTTAGGTGAAGTTTTATGGTTTTAAATTAGACCGAAAGTAGATCTAGCATGGGACTATAACGTATACAATCCTCTCAAACATCTGTAGTCATTGTTTTTTTAATTGAGGAAAAAACAAAAAAAAAATAGAGGAAAATTACATTTAAACTGTAGTCGGTTTCTATGCGTGAGTGATTCAACATTCAACAGGTATCCGAAAACGATTTTCATAATTTTTTTATTTATGATCTAAGGGTAACTATGATAATACATTTTTATGGACAAACGATCAACCCTAAAACTAAAAATTAATTTTAAGCACATAATTTTCCATTAGCTGTAAAGATTTTATCGATATTTTTATTTTTATCTGCAAACACTGGACCTCCCTTACTTATACTCACTTACTACTACTGCTGATTTACGTCTAACACTTTCTTACTACGATGTGCTTGGTTTGGACTGTACTGGTTTGAACCTACTATCCACATAATAACATCAAAGCGTTTACTTAAAAGTGATTTTATCACTTTTAGTTATAATAATTCCTGTAAACCTGTGACCTACTAGTCCCCACTGTACTGGCTTTCTTTTACTTACTGATAATAACTTGAAACTCGAACTTACAACGTAAACGTTATGCGTTAATGGATAATAAATGTACGTTCTGGTGTAACATCGAAACGCTTTTGGGAATGTTTTCTGGAGTATTGTTTTTTTTTAAGCCACCATTGTATAGTTTATTTTAGAGAACAAAAAAAAAGTTCAATTAGAGATTCCTTACTTTATTCGTGGTACTCGTATTCGCCCCTGCGTGTACTAATCTTCGCACCACATGGGTGTGACCAGATATGGCAGCATGGTGAAGCGCTGTTTGATGATCCGTATCAAATGCGTCTAAGCCAACGTCTTCGATGTTGTCCAACAAATAGTTCACGACAGACAATCGGTTGTTTCTAGCCGCACACATTAACAGTGTATAATGTTTCTGAAAATATTTAAAAAATTACGTTATTATTTATCTGTATTATAACGACACTCGTTTTACATTGGTTTTATGATAAAATATGATATTGGCTAGTCAGAAAAATATCCAATTCCTATGTACACTCCGTTTTCTATACTTAAACAACGCTTTTTAAAGTATATATTTTTGTATTACTAATTTTACACCTATTTCCTTATCTATTTTATATTATTCTGACAATGACACTTTTTTGTTTTATTACAAACGTTTTGGGATAGAAAAAAACTACTGTTTAAAATACAACGATGAAAGTAGGAAACAAATTTGGTAATTTTTTACTCAATAAGCCATTGAGTTGAAACACATAAATACTGAACAACTTTGGTTTTCATGGCTTTGTAAAACAATGTACGAGGTTTGGCCTTTACTTCTGAATTTTCGACAACTATGCCACCGACGCGACGGAGTCTCCAAACTACTTATATTAAGGTACAAGGACATTGTTATTAGGAAAATGGCGACTTTGATTCATCTATTTTACCGTTTTACAACGGTATGACAGATTACTTTATGCTTAGTGGCTGAAATAGTTGACTCTTCGCCAGTGTTAATATGTCGTTAAGTTAATTTGATAATATTAAGGCGTTCGTCGTGGGTTTATAAAGCTATTCACATGCAAACTATGTTAGCATCAACCTTCGATTTGCGTTGATTATAATAATAGTACATGGTATTCATTGAACTGTGTTGTTCCAGATTATTAAATTGTACTTCAATCAAATTTATACATTCCCTCACTGTGCTTCAAGAAGCAAATTAAAACATAAAACGCAATATTCAATATACATATATCACAGTTAAATTTATCAGTATCTGTGATAGCGACAGACTATAATATGGCGTATTGTGAGGTTTTATTTCAGAAATCGCCGGACCGTTAATTCGAAGATTAGTTGCGTTACCGTCGAACCCCTATTATCGAGAGCGTTTATTTCTTGGTATGTTTACCCGAGTTTACAGTGTAATGAACCAATATGAATCGATACGTCTTATGTAGGTTTAGATGATAAAGACGGTACACGCATTAACTGGAGTGTTTGTATCAAGTAAATATTTATGCTCAACTCTTAATAAACTCGTTTACCCGATTTCCATATTGGTACTAATAAATCTTGTGCACGTTATCCCACTTAACAGTGTGTTATAATATTAAATCGATGACCTCTAAAAAAAAAAAATGTTAAAAATGCATGTACAAAATGACGATTTTTTTTTAGCACATTAGTATTAAAATGTGCATAGTTTGATATATTACAGGGAAATTTCAAAGAATATAATATTCACTTTAATAAATAGTTTCAATTCAACATATTTTTTTAACTATACACTCTTAATGATATCTAAGACTAACGATCCAATACATCAATACACGTGGCAACCAAATAAACCATTATCATATAGCGAGTAAAGACGTCAACGTGTGCATAAAGCACCAAACTTTATACCAGTTTTGATAAAATGATGTAAGTGCCAAACTGAACACACTTTTGAATGTTCAATATTTTATAAATATACTTATCATAATTTACTATTATGCATTTAGTGTGTAAAATAAGTGCTATTTTACATGGCACGGTTCTATAAATTACATACATGTATTTTTTCTTTATCAGATAGAGTCGTATTATTTTTCACCACAATGTACATTCTTATAGAAAACTTTGACTAAACGTAATTTATTTATATTCATTACGAATAAATTAATTTATAAAACTATTTTTTTTTTTAAATATTAATTATGCTTGTTTCTAAGTTATTCCACTTCAGATTTATTATAAAACTTATAATTAATAAATACTTAACTAAAAGTGTCGTATATTATTATTTACATTTTGAAATCAGGAATGTTTTTGTTGGTTTTCATTGTTGGCTCCATTATTTGTATTTCTATAGTTTTCTCCATTTATGAGCTTGATTTATATCTATTATTCTGTCTATCCACTAACTTACAACAATCTTCTTCAACTTTCAATGGCTTACCATGACATTTTTCACACTTCAAAATTTCGTTTTTTCTTCGACGGTAGTGCCGGGTAACGACTAACGACATCTTAATAATTTCTGTCTCATTATGACATGTTTTTATGTTGCCAACCACTTTTTTTTTTAAAAACTCCTGACATCACTTCTAAGTTGTTCTTATTAGTGAGTTTCTTATTTGTCTGCTCAAAGTATTTTTTTAAATAATGCGCTTCATTTTTGCATTCTAAATCACGTTGATACCTTGGTTAGTGAAGCTACAACCTATTGACCGGTTAACTTTATCTAAAAAAATACTTGATTTGATTTATTGCTATTGCTAAGGTTTTCCTTTTATCCTCGTGTAAAAATTGTACCTACTATAGAAAGGTTATCTGAATAGTCTTACCTCATAATTCCAATTTTGCAAGTTTTTGTATAGGTTTATTATATACAAGTTGTCGACTAGTACTTAATGTAATAATAATTACAATCTATCGAACAATTTAATAACGGTGATCGATAATGCCACTTATTCTCACACAAGTCTTTTATAAACATATATATTTTTATTTATTTATATAGTAAAATGTTGCCACGCGGTACGTTGCTTATAGTTAGTTGCGCTAAAGATAAAAACTAAATCCATATGTACAATATATATATATATATCTACTACTAAAAAACCTAAGCTTTACGAGCTCTTTATCAACAGCCTGAGCTTATTTTGAGATGACGCGAACAATATTTATGTACACTCTACTTTATTATAGTTTACTCGCTAAAAAGCATTGTCGTTATTGTTCACACAGACACGTACGTGCGTACATATAGCAAAATCCGTATTAGTTGAATATTATTAACTTTAAAAAAAAAAAATAATAATAATACTAATAGCAAAAATTCCTTTTTCAAACGGGTGATTTTTTTCACGTTTGGTACGATTTTGATGGCCGATAACGTTTGGTTAGTTTCGTTTCGATGATAAATCTATTTGTCAAAAGCGACATTCACAAATGACTGCACATAACATAATGTATTTCACTAACAAATTACACTTTTATCATGGCTTAATCTGTACGATATCATTTTAAAGAACCGCATTCATTAAAATAACAACTACACATAGCGAGTTAGTGCTAAAAAAAACATAGGGTAAAATGTATTTTTTTTAGAAATATCGTTAACAATAATTATTTTTAATTGAATTTAAAAAAAAATCGTATGGTGTTGTTAATATAAAAAAAATTACATTCCACTGAACAATAGTTATTACAGTTGTGCTGGAATTTATGTTTGGTATACCTAACCAATAAATCATACGCAAATATTTTTAAATTGTTTATCATTTAAAACTCTATTTACGATACAGTTATTTAATGTTTTCACTATAAAAAAATAAACAGGATATTAAGTAAAATTCATGACGTGAGTTCAATACAAATTTTTGTTTGTAGAAAAATACTGTTTGATGTCATTGTTGTCAATAATAATAATAATATTGCAATAAGTAGGCCAAAATAAGTTTTGCACTGATAATTGTAAACAGATTACAGATGGACTGTTTAAGGTATTTTATCCAAAATAATTAAATGATTTGTAGTTTATTTTATTTTATTACACACATTTTTAATAAAAAATATTGCATTTGAATATTTAAAGACAAAATAGAAGTAAGCTATAATTAATAATTATGAATTGCGTTTCAAAAACTACAATTTTGAGATACATTTAAATTTGCAAAGTACGTTAACTCAACAGGCCACATAAATGTCAGTTCAGTTTTATATTGAAATACTATCGTTTTCACAGTATTTAAAAGTTTCTAGACGTTTTTAACATAAAACACAAAAAATATATTAACTACTAGTCCACACCACCTAGTTAATTTATTAATATTAAAAGATTTTGATTCTATTACTCTTGTCCTAATCTACTAATCTTTTTTATCTTTTTATTACAACATAATACTTTACACTCACTTTATTTATTGTATTAACACTAGCACCATATTTGATTAACATCTGCACTGCATCTGTATGACCATGCCACGCTGCCATCAAGATAGGTCGCATACCGTACTGAAAAATGTTCAAGAATCAATTGAAATAAATATATGGTAGGAGTGATTTTTCCATGTAAAAGACAACAAAAATCTCAGTGCTGATTTAATTTAATTGCGGCTCAAATCATTTTTTTTTTACCACCTAATATTAGAACAATACCAAATCGTGTAATCAATAATTGTTTAATAATAAACTATTTCAGTTCTGGCTCAATGGTAATATTATTTCAAGATGAATTTGTAAGCTGTTTATAAAAATACAATTGTAATCCGCTACATGGGTACATTTTCATAACCATGTAAACGAAAAGAAATATTTCTGTAAGTGTTTTTTATTCGTTTGTAAAGTCTAGAAAGATACCGTTGTAATAATATATTCAAAAAAGGTAAAATAAAATTGACAGTGGTTGTTGTCAAAAGCTCAAGGGACATAAAAGCAATGCAAAACATATATTAGTGGTTATTTCAAAAAAATAAATCCTTACAATAATATCTGAGAAGATATTTTCTGCACTTCAGACAGACATTTTCATTACCTATACTACTTGTTATTTTATAGTATTATTGGCGTGAAAAATACACATAATTATTATTTTTACTAAAAACTATATACAATGTTTTTGAGTAATTTATGTTGTAACATAATTATAAAATAATATTACTTTGTCTTTAGCTTCGATATCACAACTGGCGTTGATAAGCATTTCCATGATTTCAATATTTCCTCTGGAAGACGCCCAATGAATGGGAGCTCTGCCATACTAAAAATAAAAATAAATTGTTACCTAATAACACATTTTAATTATAATAGTTTGAGAATACAATAAAATAATTTTGATTTTACGTTTTTGTTAAATACTTATAAATTGTACACAGTAAAAATAGTACAAACATAATTGGTAAAAAAAAAATCAGAACTTTGAATTTTTAATACTATTATTATATTTTCTTTCATTTAATGACTTCCATAACAGTTTATCTATTATAAAAGAAAAACATAATCTGTTATTTTGGGAAATTATTTGATATTATTTGAAATGCAAATCAAATATTCAAGTACCTTAACAAAGGAATCATTTTACAGAATATATTTGATACAGTACATTAACTTGATTAAATATACATTAAAGACTCGCGTTATTGATTTTAAAAGCAATTATTATCAATGATTTGTGAAATAATTGATAGCAGCTTTTACTTGCTGGTTTATTGTATTTGAAAGAAAATATTTTCATTATTAAAGAATTACAATTATAACTGAAGTATAAATCACTCCTTTGTTTTTATTTATTTAAATGGTAAATACGATTGTATACAATATTATTAATAAACGATTTTACAATTAAAACATTATGCTAAATACGGTAAAAAATAAAAATTTTTTAAAAAAAGAATAAAATAAATATTAGGTACTTTTTTTTCTTACATAAAACCAAATCTACTTTATTTTTGCTTATTTCTTTAAAAAAAAACTAATTTTTTTTTAAGAGGATTTCTGATAAAATGGCAAAATGGGTTTACCAGACTGAAATTAAAACTTATTTTCTTATCTTAAAATAAAAGCCGCCTTATCTTCCGCTACATTTGATTATAAAAATAAGATGCAGCCTGGAGAATTTAAATAGTTATACGCCGAAAAGTCTTTTGTTGAGACATTAAATGTGCGGAATGTGTTTTTTCATTTTGTAATTTGTCTACAACGCAGACTTTTATCTTGTGTGATTTAATTAGTTTAAGGCAAGACAATTCTGAGAGATACATGTTTAGACATTTTAAATGTAATTGAAAATTTACTGCTACAAAAAAAAAGGCTGTAAACACCGTTTTTTTTTGTGTGGGTTTTGAATGTCTAGGGAAATAAAATACAACAATTTAAAAATATATTATGATTACGGTTCTATAAAGGACTTTTTGATTAATTAATTTTTAGGTAAATACATGTATTATTTGTGTGTTATAAGTAGTATAGTTATTCATTGCTTATAACTTGTATACTGTAAGTATAACTCATTAATGACGATAAAAGTAATACATTGAAAATATTCATAATACATATAATGTACATATTTCAAACAACGGTGAAACTTTCTATTTTGTTTAACACTACTGTTTATTCAAATAGCTCTTTATTTAGTTAATATAATATAAAAATAAGGTATGACAAGTAACAACAAATTATGTTGATATTTAAATATAATAACGTTTTTAAGATTATGTTTATTTTGATAAAAACTATGTGTTTAAAATGTATTTTATAATGGTACTGCACGTTATCTAAACAGTAATGAACTATTATAACTTAATTACTTACTTACCCTTAGTACTAATTTGTATTTTTTTTAAGTCAATCAATTGCTATTAAGGCATCGTTAATAACGAATGCAAATGTTTCAATAAAAACAGGAAATAATATAACCGGAAATTGAGTAACTAAATCTGTATCGTACCTCGTACAAATCGAATAAAAGAAGTCTTTATATTAGTTTAAAAAAAAATCAAGTAATGAAGTCGTGCGTGAAATTTCAAGAATAAACACGAATCAATATAACCAAAATGGAAGAAAAATATAAGGAATTCATATTGGTAACGTGTAGCATGAACTAGAGTAAACACCAAGGGCCGTATTTACGCATTATCCAAACAAGCCCAGATACAGAGCGGAAAATATAAGACACATTTTTCGCAGTGAAATACAAAATTAAATTGATCTATGGTTTAATATAACCAGTAAGTATACCTACTATAGTACTTGTAGTAATTTAATTATTAATCGACTACAAAATATAAGAATTATTTTACAAAACAATTCAGAAGTAGACATAATAATATTTTCTAACTGTTTCATGGAAAGTATTTAAACATCTTTGATGGATTTAAAATAATTCATGTATTATTAATAATATAATAACTATTAAATTTATAAAGCATTTGTTATTAATATTTTTATTTTGTCAAAACATAATGTAAACCTAATTTGGCTGTATTCATAGTCATTTTGATTAAGTCCTCTGACATGTGCATAGAGAGCGATATTTACATAAGTATGCTCTCTCTCGTTATATTATACCTACCTAATAATATTTTTATGATGCAATAATATTCTGCCAACCTATTGTTAAAGATGAAGGGGTGCAGTTAACGTGCATTCAAGAGGGGTAAATATGGGTAAACATTTTTTTCATATTTACCTCCTCTTTAATACACGTATGACGATGCCATATTTAAATTATAATACCAAAACATAATAAAAACAACCATTATACGTTAATGATACGACTAGTAAGATACTTTTATTTTTATGTTGAAAAAAATATGCATTTTTTATAAATTATTTCATTGTTAATCTGAATGCACAATGCTAATTTAATTCAATCTAAATCAAATGCTAAACTGAATGTACAAAGGGAATAATCTAGTACGCACTAGATTGTTGATAGTTCAATTTCCTATCTAGCAGCCCGCATTCAAATACGGATATATCATGTAATACTAATGAAAAATGAAAATCGTATTAATGAAAATGTGTGTTTTATTTTTATAAGAAAAGAAAATACTATGCGTAAATAATTACCTACTGAATATTTATGTGTTCCGTGTTAGAACGTCTGAGTCATCAATAATTTAACAACTACAATCATATGTATTGATCTTGCTGAAATTGTAATAATAAATCAATGACATAATTTATTTAGGTTGGACAAAGTTAATGTTTTGTTAATGTATGTTGAATCATGTACAACAGAACCAACCAACCGTTTAATGTTTTTGCGCTGTAATATTCTAAACGCGACAAGCTATAGCATGGCGCGAATAAATTGTATGCCGCACACGTTGGATCAATAAAATATACACGTTTTTAATTTATTATGACTAGACTTACAGATTTTATCGTCGTAAATCATTTAACCGGATAACACCTTACTTTCTGTCAAGTTTCACCCCGCTTTTATTTTTTTTTTTTTGATTAACATGTTTTGGAATACAATAGAAACTATTCAGCTATGATGTTATTAGAACAGAAATAAACGGCATTTTTGTAAATAACAATAACCACGAGAAAAACTTGCTTCATTTCCGCACATAAATATCCGGAAAGTTTGTTCACCAGAGTATTATGTCGGATATACCGAAAAATAAATGATCTAGAAAATGGGTTGTCCCGTATTTGCTAAAAGCCAGCAAATGAGTTCCCAATTAACCGAAAAAATAATGTATGATAATGAAACTTGGTCTATAACTACATCATATTTCATAGCTATTTGCAATGAACCGTAGAAAATAAAGTTAAAACTTTTTGCCTACCATTTGTACAACGTCAGTAAAAGTGTATTATCGTAAAAATTAAATAATATCTCGTTAAAAATTGCAAACATTATAAAATTAAACTAATATTCCACCTTTCTTATTTTTCTCTGTATTGAATCACACAATTATAATAATAATAATAATATTATTAATAATTGATTTATTTTTTGTTCTTTTTTACTTTTCTTAGGTACATACATTTATTTAACATTGCGTATATTAATAGTATGTCATATAGTTATATGCACTCGATTTAAAAATATATATTTTAATTAATAATTTTTTATTTATCAACACAATTTTTTTAACCATAACCCGAATAAATCATTCGGGCGCAAATCCTTGTTTTTTATATTAATATTGCCAGTACAATGAAATCAATACAGTTAGATTATTTTGTTCTATACTTTTAATTTTAGAAATTACTAATCTTTAATGTCAGTAACTCAATAAGCGTTACTATATACTATTTAATACAATCATTGTTATAACGATAATTTGAAATGTATATAACAAAAAAGTAATTGACTTTTAAAAGAAAAAATATATTTTCTGAGCAAAAGAGGGGAAAAAGGATATCAAATAGTAAAAAGCCTCTTTTTCAGAATGTTATCATTGATTATAAAGACTTGTGATTATAATCCATGATGTTATGTAAGTATTGAAAATATAAGAAAAATGATGAGCAGTGTCACGCGAAGAAAGCATAAACGCACAAGTTGAAAAATCAAAATGTTGCTACAAAAAAATTAATATTAATAATAGGCATTTATTTATATGTAGGTATTACAATACCGTACTTTGTTTTTACCGACCCTAAGTAGTAAGAAATATATTTTTCTTTGGAAATTTACTTCATAATTACATAACTCATAGCATTTGACGACCCTTGAAATTACCCTAACTATACTACTATAAAGTAGTATACACTCTGCAATCATTTTGAGAAATGATCCTGTGAAAAAACACAGTCTGTACACATTTAAGCCAACCAACTCAAATACCAAACGATTTGTTAGTATACAATCGTCAATTTGTACAATTACCAATTGTCTTATATTAATGTATAGACGGAAAAACAAAACTAAAGGTATTTTGAAAAACATTAGCCAAAGAAAAATTACTGTTTTTGAGTCCTATATAATTTATCTTATTCTAGCTATTATTCCATAATAAAAGATTCAAAAACACTTTTGCCCATTAAAATGAAATAAAAATTATTTAACAATGATAGAACAGCGCAGTATTATAATATTTTGCACTTAAGTCAAAGTGGAACTATATACCGTATATAAAACATATTACGCTTGTTCCAAATATTTATGAATCTCCGGAAAATAAAATCTGTGTCCTCACCTGATAATAATATGTATTTTGTATCACGCCGTAAGATTAAAATTCATGTAACATAAAGTATCTCTAAACTTGCAATCTAATTTACACATACAAAGCACTAAACCCAATTGAATAAAAAATTCAATTCTCCCATCGCCCCAAAAAGTCACACTAAAAAAGAAAACAAGAATCCCTTTTAAACCGGCTGAAAATTGGATATACAAGGCTTACGCGCTGTTATTTAATGAATAAAGAACAACCTCCTACGTGTCTAACTTGCGGAGTTACTTTATCTTCTTTAACCATATGTAAACGTCATGTTCTACTTTAATGCCAAGACTTATAATTTCAATAACAATGTTTTTAAAAAAACATGTGAAGGAAGCTTGAATTTAAAGGTGATAAATATTAACAATACTAAACAAATATCCATAATTTCATCAAATTTGTTTTGTTGAATTTGGATCTTTAATAAAGATTGGGGTTAGCTTAGCCAGGACATTTAAATTATATTTTGATGTTATGTCATGATGAATTATCAAACATTAAAATTTTTAAAAATTACTTAGACGTCCGTACAATAAGCCTATTCGGTTGTTTTCCTTATTTTACCCGTATTTATCATTTTGTGTGTAACAACTTACAAGAATTCCATAACTCATATAATACACCGACCATTGTATTCAGTTTTAGAATGTATATGAAAACTCGTTGATTGTAAAACAACAAAAACTGTTGTCGAGTTGGTCATTTGTCTATTTTATTGTTTTCTTAATATAAGTTGTTTTCGGATAAGACCGGTGTCAGAACTACATCAAAAACAATATACATTTGAGTATATCTAGGGAAAATGTATGGAAATGTTTTTCCCGTGTTATTCTATTTCCTATTTTCGTTCAAACTTACCTAAAACATTTTTATAAGAAATAATAACATCGTATCTCTGATGAAGCTCTTATTTGCTTTACTCTAGAATGTTTGAAATGTTTAAAAACGTTCTGCAAACATTATGAAAACATTTAGTTTTTCTATTGACTAGATTAGTATAACGTTTATCTAATTATTTAAGGTTATACATCAGTAGGTAAAAAACAAATGACGATATCTGTCTCGGCAAAAACATTAAACAAATATTGAATAGTGAAACTTTTAAGCATATAAATAGTAAAAAAGTGCTTTATTCATTACAAAAAAAAAAATCTACCGCGTAGAAAATAAAAATAAAACATGACTTTGTAAAAAAAAAATGTAGTTTAGTTTAATTATATTTTTTATGTCAACAAAATGTTTGAAATGCGGTACTTACATTGTTTCGAGAATTCACATCTAGAGGCTCTTTGATTACTTTTTTTACTGCTTCCGGGTCATTTTTTATAACTGCCTCGTGCAGTAGTAACTCGTTTTTCAACGCTAAAAATCAAAATTAATCAAGCAAATATTATTATTGTTGTAAATAGTCGACGCGATTGCATAATTATTATTACACTCTTTTCTAATTATGCAGTCCTTGGAAAACACAATTAAAAGAAAGGTCTTTAACTTTTTGAAAGATTATAATATTATTTGGTATATGCCACCAGGTATTTTTATATCTACTAAAGGCAGTTTTAACGCTCGAATTTGCATTGTGTGCACTAGAGTTAGGGAAGTTTAAATCGTTTTTTACTTCTTCACTATCTCAAAAAATATTAGCAACCCACTAGGCCTAACCTCCAAGAAATTATTTTTTTTTACCGAAATTCTGAAGGCGATTTTAAAAAGTCTAACTTTCCCCAACCCAGTTCTCCCTTGTTATGCTTAAATATGTGTAGCACAATCTGTATTCTGTGTAAAAAAAATTACATACATTTATGATAAATAATGATAGTCATTGTATGGAGGCTATTGCGTATTTATAATAAATATGATTATTTCAATCACTGTTGCTTGCTGACTGAATAGCCAAAATTGTCTTCATACAAATACCACTATAAATGACTGCAAAAAAGATTTTGCACTTAATTTTGTTAAAATTAAACTCATATCCCTCGAGGTTTTCTAATCTTCTCAATTATTAATTAAGTTAACGCACTAACCGCTGCTAGCGCGTCGATTTCCGGCTTCGGTCGGTGGTTCGGGATTTTCTTCTCCGCCGCCCATAGACACTCTTCTTAATACAACACAGTCGTCTACTCTAAGCATCGTTTACCAGCATTACCTGGACTTGCCCTAGAAATAAATATTAAACATCATTAAGCGTACAATATATTACATATTAATATCTATAAATCTAGAAATAACTTAAGCAACCCATGTGGTTGTTATAGTGAAATAATTAAATATTTAAATACACCCTTAACCAAATAGGAACAGTAATGAGGAACCTTTATGGGTAGTTTATAGTTTTTTATTTATCAGACTATCTTAGCGTTAAAATATAATTTTAAAGTTTTGTGACACTGAAAAAAAAACTTATTTGACGTACATTGTCTGTTTTTTTATACTGTAATTTAATAAGTTTTTATTAAAATAATTTAAACAGAAAAAAGGGGTGACAACAAAACGTCGGTTATTGCGTTGATAAATCAAATCGTACAGTGTATAATATTCTTTTATACGTCATGTTTCCATAAATTAAAAACTTTACAACTACTGTAAAAAGTCGTTTAAGAATTAGCGTGTGTGGCTCCCTTTGACTATAAAGGTATATTTTCAACGCATATGTATAATCGCTATTAAATAAACTTCGATAAAATGTAAGGACTATTCAAATAGGAAAGCATCGCAATAAATTCATACCACTTTCCAGTTAACTGGCTGTTGGCCAATTTTAGAATATTATTTACACTCAAGGTACCCGAACAGTATTAGTTCAACGCTTAAGTCGCATTTATAAAAATAGTTTTCATTTTTTTTTTTAACCCATTTACTGCAGTGTGATTATTGTGCCTCAACACCAATGATGCGGAACGTGTGCCCACTACAGTTTACATATTTCTCTATAATCGACTGTTTAAACCAGTTATTTTTAATGTGAATTTAAATTTAACTATTGTATAATGATTATAACTATTAGTATTTATATATTTTTTGGCTTGAAAAAAAAATGTAAATTTAAGCCGTACGCGGTACACGCACTAGTCTAAAACCACAGTTTTTTTTTTAATCTTAAACAATAATTAGAAAGAACCTTCTTGTGCATATTTTTCATAAAATAAACATTGATTTGTATAAAAAAATTAAAAATTAAGTTTTAAAGTTAATCTAAAGTTTTCTAAAAAAACCCGCATACAAATCTAAAAGTATGCAACGGAAGTAAAACAAAAAATGATATATAAAAAAGGTCCACAAATAAATTAGTTTAAACTTCTATAACTCTGCTTGCTGACTCCGCCGTTAGTTAAATTAATATAAAAGCTCCAGACAAAATACCTTCTCAGTTTCGCACCAAAGCTAAACATTTCTGAGAAGAATTTTTTTACGACTAAATATCGAAAATCAAAATCACTTTTTGTTGCATTATATGCTAATTTAAAAGTTCGCATAATAAAACATATTAGTGTGGCGGTCCCAAATATTATTTCGCGATGACTGATGCAGGGAGTTGACTGCCTGAAATCAGCTTAGCGCATAACGTATTATAAGCTTGTAATTAAAATATTGATTTGCATTTTATAAACTCTGTTGTGGTTAAACCGAACGAGATTAATGTATTGTACACTTGCGGTTGGATTTCTCAACAAAAAAAAAAAGCAAATATTTGTTATTACAAGCAACATGATTTTAGTCAGTGTGTATTTTCGATTTCACAAATAATTGTATTTATCGCGAAAAATAACAATTTTTTATAAAGAGTTGTAAATCGATTTGTACGGTATATGAGGTGGAAAAAAAATACAACCGAGACACTTTGTACGCGTCCAAAACTTAACGCAATAAGTGAGTATAGGTAATATTTTATCTACTGATTTCCGCAAACATTGAGTGACGTTGAACTAAAGAGCAACGCGTGTACGTCGATTAGTCAATTTTATTAATATTCTATTACTTACACTTTTTAATTTACGATATATATATATATATATATATATAATATAAGAAGACATCTTCTTTACACCGTGGAAATGCGAAAAGGATACTAATTTAGATAATAGATAAAGAAACACATGTTATCGTTATAACAAGCTGTAGGTGTCACTAGTTATCAGCTAGCTGATGGTACTGTTTTCTGTATATTTTTGTAATGCCAAGTGTTTTAATTTAACACAAAATATTTAAAGATAATTAAAATGATTTAAAGGCAAAAGATGGGCAATATTTGCCAAAAATGTATCTAGTAACAGTAGACGCTTCAAAAAGTGACTTTTTGTTTTAATCTTTATTTGTATAAAATTTGGCGCTTTCCGATCTCCTTAAATACAATAATTTTACTATGAAACCTTTAGAAACACCATTTCGACGTTGGAACGGTCATGATAAAAGTGGACTGCTAAAACAATGTAGGCCTGTTTGTTAATACGGTTGTAATTTATATTTTGCCGCCTCAGTCAAAATATATACTAAAAACCACCACTGAATTCAGTGGTTTATATTTTAATAGTGATTGCATAAGTTATTTTTCACGTTTCATATATACTTACACGAGTCTGGACAACGTAAAAACTATTTGGGAGTATAATATTAAAAATTATTTTTATTTTTTATTTATAAGACTATGGTACCCAGCTTTTACCATGATCTATACACCCACCCAACCCTACAGTGTTACGTTGCGATCGCAATACATGGACATGTTGATCAGCACCACTGACGTATAATAATGTTCAAGGTCTAAATTACAATTAATTATATTTTAAACTTGAATTGTAATTTTAAACTGGGTTATACTATGATAGTGTTTCATATTTTGAATAATATAGTAAGCAGGTCATCCGAGAAACAACAAATCAGTGTCGTATTTCAAAGTTAATCCACGTCAGATGTTCTTTCCCGGATCGATCGTCTGGGAATTTCAACAACATGCGATGATTATTATTTTCTTTATTCCTCTTTTAATTAACGAAGGTAAGCATTGAAAGTTTCGGGTTATAAATAAAATAACAATGAAATAACATACACAATCGATGAAGACGCAGCCTTTTAACAAAATGCTGTGGTTGTAAGTAATTTATCATAATCTTTTGTACAGATAAACAAATGAATATCAACAAAACGGGTTTGAAACATAAAATGTATACTATAAACAATAATAAAACGATTCATTTTTAACTTATTGAATAATATGTAATAATTAAAGATACCTCTTTGTTAAGTACAGTGAATTTATAAAATTTTCAAATAAGTGCTGATTGATACAAATATAAGAGGCGATGATGAAAATATCAGTAAATGTAAAATACTTGCTTACGTGGGTGGAAAATGTTATGATGATACTTTAAAAAATCTGAGTTAAGCCATTTTGAAGTCTGAAGTACTTAAATGAATGGGGATGGAAAACCTGTAAGTAGATCAAAGAGAAGACTAGTACAAATAATTACATGTATAATATATGATATTAACAGTCACAAAAGATAATGCAAATACCTAAAGACGCATGGGTTATAATCAAAACATTATACGGTTTAGGTTTGTTATATATATTTAATTTCAGATATTTATTCAGTTCTATTTAGCCAAAATAATAAAATGTGTCAGTAAACATATTAATATAACTTATTAAATAGAGGTATATATTGCCGTCTAACACTTATTAATATATTATATCTCCCTTGCATTATATTGTAAAAAAAAATGATTACATAATTGAATATACAATTATATTTTTGTGTTTTATGTTTCAACTTTTGTTTTAATTACTTTAGATTTTAACTATGTTAATTATTTCAGTTAATAATTTATATAGACTATGCTGTATTATAGTTTCAAGCCTTGCTTTAGAAGTATAGGTAATACAAAGTTACATTAATGATACTACATAAGTCATTAGTTGATTTTTAAGTGCGAGTTCTATCTACAATATAACATTATATTATTATTTCTATAGACTGCATTTTGAACACATGCGGCAGCAGCTGTAATCGTATTTTGATCATTATATACGAACTGGGTAATTTCTGAATCGTGTAAGCAGGCGACTGTCTAGAAAAAAGACACAGGTACCTTCCTTACCCGAAGCTCAAAATTGTTCAGTCAGCGATAAGTTGACAGTCCGCGGTAATCCTAAGTCGCCAAATCAAATTTTTATCCGTCAGCTAAAGATAAAAATGAGCAAACTTATAAATGTGATACATAAGTTCAAGATTTAACAAAAAGTAAACGCAGTCATGAAATAACGATTGGAACTAATAAAACCAATTTATTTTATACATAGTTAGATGAACTACTTATTAAATATCTCATTAATAATACAAACTGCAAGTTTTTCCGCCTCTAGCCTCGCTTGTCAATGTCTAGCCAGGTGTCCAGGGAATATTAATTGATATGATACAATAAAAAGTATCATAAGCTTTATCGTATAATACAATTATGTTAAAAAAATATAATTGAGTCATCCTCCTAATTTATATTTATAGCTAAATTTGTGTCCTGTCCGTTCGGTGCCGTATCGGACTGAAGTCATAGTTCGGGGTTGCCCTTTGTACAGTAAAATATCATGAAGGCTCAAGCTTCAATAGCTTCTGATAAAATAACACTAAGTTAAACATTTTGAATGATCCATTTTGAGTAGAACACAGTAACCCAGCTCCCAGGGGTTCTATTTTGATGTCGTATGAACGTTACCGCATGTAATTGTGGTACATACATGTGGCTCTGCTATAAAAAGCTATCCTTTGTTTGTCAAAAATTAAATAGGTTTTTAGCATGGTTATACATAATAAATGTTTGACCGGATGAAGCCCGGTGTAATAGCTAACCGAAGAAAAATTGAGTTATGGCTGGTAAAACATGTAAATGTAGGTCAAACTAAAATTTGGTACATCAAAAAAACCAGACTTGAACGGTCAGGGTTCCGGTCCACTATTCTAAATCAGACGACGTGCTATCGTGCAACAGTATTATATTAATTATAATCGAGCACTTCAAATTTTAACCCAATTTGTTTGTTCAATTAAGAATAATGTCAATCGTCAAGCCTATGTTTTAAATAATACTCCTTTTATACATTATATTGTACACTCACAATATGTGTATTATATTACTTTGAAATTACCCTCGTTAAAGTATTTTTT